CAGAATGATTTCTGTTAAATTTGGGATTTCCATTTACTTATAAAGTTATCCTTTTTGACGAGTGTATTGGTTGCTTTGTATAACTTTGATGATTTAGTATTGATCTTTCCATTGTTAATTTACTTCAGACAGAAACAATCTATTATTTGATGTAATTATCCATATTTTGGTTAAAATAGGGAACAGTTACCAAGGGGACCACCAAAACAATAAGTCGAATAAAACAAACAAAACCCAAGGCAAACATAGAAAACGACGAATAAATAAGCAATTCCAAAGAACAGTGTACATAAAACTAACGATTCAGCAATACCAACCCAACAAAAACCGAGGGTAAACTACTTTACATATTCAAGTCGTTTAACAAATTTTAAACAAGTTTCCTCTCAACGAACTCTATATACCAATGTTTAAACTGTGGATATACATATATACATTTTTTTGTACCTTTTATCCTCTTTCCTTCAGGGAACGCCACAAATCAACTCCTTCTGAAGTACCAACGACTTGTAATGGAACTAGCACTGATACGAGCACTAGTGGTGATGGTAATTATGGAGCAACCCCGATATACATATAGGTAAACGTAAACAGAAATTGGCTGATTCGATATGATGGACTTGTGTAATCCGCTTCTAATGAAGGAGCTTATTGTATATTTTGTGTTCTATTTAGGATTGACAGTTTTGGAACCCTAGTATACGAACTATTAACAGATATGGCACATGCTTGTACTAGACTAAACAAATATGTCGGCCAGGATGACAAACCTTGCCATGCCGAGGCAAGAGCCAAAGCACAGCTTTTCCTTGACAATATTGAGGAAAAGACGGTCGATATACAAACTTGTATTGATGCACTGATTCACGTACATTATAATTTAAATTTGGAACTTGCTGTGATCGTTGACACGTTCACACATAGGTATACACAAAAATGAAATTGGAATCAATTTTATAAGTTCTGTTTAACAATTTGCTTTAATTTTTACTATTTTCATGAAATTATTATCAATAAAACGAAATTGAATTATTATAAGAGTTCGTAAGGTGACCTCCCCCTGACAAATGTCTGGATCAGAACCTGTATAGATAAATATATATGCACACAATTATATAACTGTCAGAAATAAAAAGCAAAACAGTTTAAATTTTAATATAGATTAGCAAATTAAATCCCCTACGAACAGAAAAAAGAATTATATTAGTTGAAAATCAAAACAATTGTTACTAAATAATACAAAAAAATACAAAAGTCATAAACATAAACAATACAAGCATGTAACAATGACAAATGTTGATAAGTTGTTTCAACCATGATGCCTTCTTCCAAAATAGCATTAAAATAATCATAATTAGAACAAGGATAAAGAAGAAGATGCTGTTAAACATTAAATTATATTTTTCACATGCTAAGTCGACGAAAAGAAAAAAAAAGATTTGTGATTTATATTTATATAAATATATATAATATTAGTTCTTAAAAACTCGAATTTTTGGTGAAAATAAAAAATGAAAGTACACTGCATAAGTGTACTATTATAGGACAGAAACATTTCGAGAAGCTGTTCGAAAAGTGGTAAAAAATGTTATTGTGACAGTATTTTCATTCATAGTTTGTCCAGCTTATATCTCGGACTTGTATGAACCAATTGTAATGGAACTATATATATATATATATATATACAAGTCTAAATTGAAAAACAACGTTCAAACCTATGATTGCGTTGGATAAAAACCGCAATTTTTATACGTGTGCATGCAAAACAAATTTCTTGTTAGAGGGGTCTAATACAGCACAAACAACATTTTCCAAAAGACAAAAAGAGTGAAAAAGTATATTTTAACAAAACGCATTTGACTAACAGGTCGAACAACAAATGTTCTTAAACCCTGCTGACTGCCATTGGCGATTGCCAAATAAACGGATCACCGATGTAATAAATGGATCTTAAATATAAATTTAATACTAAACAGAAAACAATAAACTTGCGGAAAAGATGTTATACCGCAAACAAAAGGTGCAAAGGTTTTTGTACACCATATCCGGATTTCGACAATTAATGTCTCTTCAGTGATGTTAGGAATCGAAACGGTATTTGGAAAGCCATACAATTTACCTCAATTTAGGATAGACTCTTGAATTTTGAGGAGTCAAAATAGGATGAACGGATCATATAAACCCGAAGGCAAATATAATACAAGCCCAAACGAAAAAATATAAACAAGTCTAAATTGAAAAACAACGTTCAAACCTATGATTGCGTTGGATAAAAACCGCAATTTTTATACGTGTGCATGCAAAACAAATTTCTTGTTAGAGGGGTCTAAATACAGCACAAACAACATTTTCCAAAAGACAAAAAGAGTGAAAAAGTATATTTTAATAAAACGCATTTGACTAACAGGTCGAACAACAAATGTTCTTAAACCCTGCTGACTGCCATTGGCGATTGCCAAATAAACGGATCACCGATGTAATAAATGGATCTTAAATATAAATTTAATACTAAACAGAAAACAATAAACTTGCGGAAAAGATGTTATACCGCAAACAAAAGGTGCAAAGGTTTTTGTACACCATATCCGGATTTCGACAATTAATGTCTCTTCAGTGATGTTAGGAATCGAAACGGTATTTGGAAAGCCATACAATTTACCTCAATTTAGGATAGACTCTTGAATTTTGAGGAGTCAAAATAGGATGAACGGATCATATAAACCCGAAGGCAAATATAATACAAGCCCAAACGAAAAAATATAAACAAGTCTAAATTGAAAAACAACGTTCAAACCTATGATTGCGTTGGATAAAAACCGCATTTTTTATACGTGTGCATGCAAAACAAATTTCTTGTTAGAGGGGTCTAAATACAGCACAAACAACATTTTCCAAAAGACAAAAAGAGTGAAAAAGTATATTTTAACAAAACGCATTTGACTAACAGGTCGAACAACAAATGTTCTTAAAATATATATATATACCATGATGTTAACCATGCAGCATGTGCAGATTTGCAATCGGGGAATGGCATTTTCAAGATGGCTATTGTTGCCATGGAAACTTCTAAAAATGCGGGGGGGAAATCTAAATCTTTTATTATAAGACCTAACTGATGAAACTTTATGTAAATGTTACCTGGTCTGCCTAGATGTGCAGACAGTATTTAGAAATTCCAAAATGGCCGCCATTGTCATGGAAACAGGGGGAAAGTTTAACATTGACCCTATGGGAAAACACATTACAGCTGCATTTATAAAAGAATATTAGATTAAACCCAATAAAACTTTATGGATATGTAATATGGTTTGTGGCTGTTTCGGATTTGGAAATGGTCACCGTTAACATGGAAACAGCAAAAATTTCAAAAATTTCAAAATGCTTCAAAATTAACGAAACTACAAAAATGTTAACTGGCATGGGTAGATGCGCTGTTTGAATTTGGAATTTTCAAATTGGCTGCCGTTACCCTGGCAATTGGGGGCGAGGGTGCCATCCGCTTTTACTGGTAATAGCGAGTCTAGTTGCTTTTTTTTTATTTTGTAATTTTAAATATTTCTTTATCTATAACGTTTCACAATCACTATGTATCATCGTGTATTTATTAACGAACCAGCTTATGGAAAACTCAAATATTTATTCAGTTTGCTATAGCAGTAGTCAAGCGTTTTGTTCCTATACACTTGAGACATAATATATGACAGTATATACATACTTCACGAACATGAACAAATTTGGAAAAAAAACCGCTTGAAAACGTCAATATACAAATGCAACTTCGAAAACGACAACGACATATGATACTCATATATTTCGTCGAGTATTTCTTCCGTTATATCACATATTACAGCTAATCATAACTTTTCCATGAATTGATCCTTAAGGTGACATATACGAATTTTAATCCTACTGAACCTAAATCTCTGGTAGTGGGATAGCAAAATGTGCATAACAGAGGGTCTGGATGGGGTTTACAAATGGAAAATAATGGACAAAACTTGAAGTGCAGAATAAAGGGACAAAAAAAAAAGAGTAGAGAAAAAATAATAAAGATAAGAGAATAATCGGGGGCTAAAATATAAAGAATAGAGAATAATGGGCCAAAGATATATAATAAGAAAATTAAAAATACATAAATGAAGGACCCCATCTGCACCCTCATAACAAAACATAACTAAACTGATTAGTACAGGAAAGACACGTTACTTTATAAAAGATTACAAAATCACAAGCACAAGCACAAGCAAAACAAAAGTAAACAATACCCGTATCAAAGAATGCTCGCAGTTATTGAAAGCCGCAAGATATGCTTCATTGCCGAATGGCACAGTCTATCGTACTCTAATATCGGTGACTATACTTGGGAGAAATTTCGCACACTGTGACGTCATAAACAGTTCAAGACTACATTGGTACCCGTCCGGTATTTCACAAGTTTAACAATACTGACAAAAGGCATACTGAATGTTTTACGTTGGGGTGTAATCTGGCTTTATATGCCAACCTAAGCAGTGCCTAGATCTATAATTAAAACAATTTTAGTCCCGGTTAAAATCATTCTGGATAAAATGATTTTACCTGCTTTCTTTTCTTTTCAGGTGATAAACCATGGAAATACTACACGTGAATAGAAACCTGTGTGAAGTCCGCCCTTTCAATATCCGCCACTCAAAGCAGAGGCATACAGTTGTATTATATGTCTCTGCTCAAAGTCAATAAAAAACAATTAACTTTAGGCGAAATAGCTTCAAGCAGTGCATTAATTTTGAAGAAAGAAATACATAACGATTGCTGCTTCAAATGAAAGACCTTAACATTTTCAATATTTCCAGTTTTTGTTTTAGTCACTCAAAATAAATTTCCGGTTATTTAAAGAAAAGGCCTTGATTTTCCTTCCGTTGAGTTAATTGATAGTCTACGAGAGGTAACTCTTTTGAATTTACGGAAAACAACGAAAAGTTGCGATTGTAACAGGTGCCCGCTGTTCGGTAATTCTCGTCAAGACTTTGACGTCACAGGGATTTTCCCAAGAAGACTACGAGCAGATGAGTCATCGCAGAGAAATGAACATCGCTACCCAATCACATTTCCTCTAAGCCCACGATATCTGCTACCTGTTTAACTGTGTTTTTAAGATCACAAGGAATTGGTTTCATGAAAAACACAACTACCATACTGGCAAATACAACCATCAAAATATTAGCCGTTTTTCAAAATGGCGGACCCAGAAAATCCGAATCCAAAAAAGCCGAATGACAACCAAGGTAGCGTACTTGTGGAAATCCATGTTGGTTTTATTTTAGGATGTATGAGTCATACATAAGTGTATGTTTTTACTGTTTAATCATTCACGGAGTAAATGACATTTCAATAAAGAGTAATTATCGACAAACTCTGTTAATGTCAACACAATAACGCAATACATTTCTAATTTAAATAATGCAGTTTGTAGTAGAGTAACACCTCTGACACCTTGATCAATATCATGCTCATGTTTGTTTACCTGTTAAGTAAAGCCATGATAAATAAAAAAAAATAGATATTAAATTTCTTCCTCATGTAAATAAGACTTTTAGAAAACCAAATTTAATAAGAATTCACCTATAACCACTGTGCAGAAAATCTTAAAATTGTGAATTTTCTAGTTTTAGTAAAAAGAAAGTGTCAGATGTTTCCATTTAAGAAAAATCTCCCTTATTACATGTGACAATATGGGTAAACTGCTCTCAAAAGTCAAGTTTATTGATTTTACTTATTCATCAGCCAAATAACAGCATTGAAATAGTTCTTCAAATGCGAAAGCAGACGTTCCGGTTAAAGGCCTTTCAAATGATGTGGCAAGATGTTTTGATCCCAGATCAAGCCACAACCCCTCTCTTACTTGAAATAAAGGCCCTATAAACATATACATCCTCTGCAAATTGAGCTACAAGATTTTAACCTGACTATGTTTTTATTGCGAGTCCATTTTGACACAAAATTTTGATTTTAGAACATACAACGTAGGTATTACCATTTCAAATGATCTATGAAAACATGATCTGAGAGTAGTAGTGGTATCTGAGAAGACAGAGATGTTGTATGTCTGCAAAAGAGACAAATATCCACGAAAGACCCAAGCAAAAAATGTGAAGTACAATTTCAAATCGTGTACTGCCCAGCCTTCAATAATGAACAAATCTGATACCGTATAGTGAGCTATAAAATGCATCTAGATGACAAAATGTGAACAATTCAAACGAGAAAACCAACAGCCTAATTTATACTTAAACAAATACGACAGACAGCAACCAAAAACAATCAGTAGATTACAGACTTCTGGCTTGGGACAGGCACATACAAAAAATGGCGGAGTGAAATAAGTTTCTGAGCTTTCAACCCTTTCTTAATTTGGGACAGTGTTGTAATATCACGTCATGACCAACAAATTGTAAAAATCAGTTTGAAAGGGCTGGACTTATTAGATCAGTGTTAATTCTCCCCTAACCTGGAACAGGTGTGTAATACCACATGTAATGACCAACAAACTGTAAAAATCTATTGTAAAGGGCTGGACTTATAGATTAGTGTTTATAATCCTCCCCTAACCTTGGACTATGGTGTAACAACACAACTAAAGAACATGAACAAACTAAAAAAATCAGTTGGAAAGGGCTCCACTCATCAGTTGTGTGATAAGCACAAAAATGAATTACAAATAGTCAAAAGTCATGAAGTTTCGATGTAAGGACGCTCACAGTTACTACAACATGTATAAGCTAATTCAAAGCTTAATAACAAATAATAAATTAACCATTTTTATGCCCCCCCTTAGCGGAGGGGCATTAAGTTTTACCCTTGTCCATCCGTACAAACATCCCAAACATGGTTTCTGTTCTCTAACTTAAGTTTGCCTCAACCAAATGTTATGAAACTTATACACAATGCTTATTACCACAAAATACAGATCAAGATTGATTTTTGATGGTGTCACTTTTACTGTTCTAGAGTTATGCCCCTTTACAAAAGGAAAATTGCTGAATATTTCGTTTCCGTTCTCCAACTTAAGTTTGCATCAACCAAATGTTATGAAACTTATACACAATACTTATTACTACAAAACTCAGATTAATAACAAATTTGGGTAGCGTCACTTTTACCGTTCTTCAGTAATGTCCCTTAATAACTTTATATGATATGCAAGCGGGGGCATCATCTGTGTCCCATGGACACATTCCCCATTTATTTCAAATTTTTCTGACATGTCTTTTAGGTCTTCATATGCCTTGTCCCACACCTGCACAGTTCTTTTTTAATCTAATAAGTCAGTGTTTAAAAGATAAGTGACTATGATTCTCTTCATCATATTACTTTGATAAATGCTTTTTCCTAATTCAAATCTCAGATATATTGATTATCACTTTTTAATGAGTATGTTAAATGTATTTAAGTAACAAGGTTTTTTTTTCATTTCATAATCGATCAGGGATAATGGTACTAGATTATTTGGGGCAGTCTGATCATTGCTGACTCCATTCCCCTGCATGAAAAACCAAATTGCAGCAAATTAAATTCTGAAATCCCGATAGTTTTCTGTTCTATTCCCTGATCCATGTCTTAACTTTTCTTAAACCTAAAACCAGTGCAGAAACTCACTGCACTTATGTCTGCACAAATTTATTCATTACTGTTGTTGCATTTGATTATCATGTTTGATGGTATGAAGAGCAGAACGAATATTAGACTCTTATCACTATTTCCTGCAGTGATGTCTAGTTTGCCTGATTCAAAGCTAGGGAGCTGGTAAAGGAAGAGGTTACATAGATTTGCTTTAAAAAAAAAATTTCCTATTGTTTTTAAAATTCTTCTGGAAGGGGCAGTTAATGTTAGTGAAAGAAGTATTTAATCATGTTAATTATCTGTTTTCAATGCGATCTGCTGATGAACTGTTTGACTTGTTAGTGCAATTAAAATAACATTTATCTATTGTCACGAAGTATCATATGTTTTTACAGTAAAACCTGTCAAATTGAACCTCTTCGGGGCTTAAGATTTTGTTCGGTTTTGGCAGGTGTTCAGTTTTAAACTTTTATCAGGTTCACAACCAAGGCTTCCAAAACGGTCATATATTCCGGACATTTGTATAATGTCCGGTAAAAGTCTGGCTGGGCAAAGCATGAAACAGTCATCTACTTTTTAATTTTCAAGGCTTTCTTAAGAGACGGTCATTTTAACATAATTCAAGATCTTTTTGACCCAACCGTTTGCCTTAAACAGCCACACATTTCCGGTCATAAAAGTGACATGATCATTAAGTACTATCAAAACAACCCCTACTTTAATACCTTTTCATTTTAATCAAGGCTAATTAGTTGTCGAACAGCTGTAATTTACCTGTTCAGGTGACAGGTAAACTATTTTGAACTGGACATTGATCGGTCTATTCAAAGTTATTTTCTTACATTTTAGCTGTTTGCATCTAATTAATTTAGTCAAAAAGATTTAAATTATCAGAAATATGTTTACAAATATGATTTGATTAAAAAATTAAAGAGGTGAAAATGAAAAATTGTCATAACCACGTTGTTTGAACTACAATGTAGTACACATGTGCGCAGGTGTGAAATTTAATTATGCATCCTAATTTCTGCTTAAATTGTCATTGATACCTTTATCTCACGTTTATATCGAATATTTTCTTGAAGAAATAACGTAGAAAGAGCTACTTACACTCATTCATGCTTTGCAAACGTACACGGAATTTACGTATCCGTCTCTGGTCCATGTTTTACCATTGTCAAGATAACATCCGGTATTAGATTTAAAAACGAAAGTAAAGTTTTTGACAACGTTTTTTTGCACAAATAAAGAGTCTAAGGCAGATAAAAGTACGCTGATGTTGCACACTTCGAATGATGCACTGCCAATTTAACAGTTTACGTCAGAACTTCGAATTTGAATCAAAGAAAGTTTAATATCTTTTTTTTTTAAAGTCAATCATTGGGATGGGCAACTCGGCAACTGATTACCATAATTGCCTTTTGTTTATTTAGTCTAAATCGGGATAATATATAAAATGTCCGGCTGGCTAAAAATAATTTTGGAAGCCCTGTTCACAACGTATAAAATTTTATATGACTGGACTTAGGAACATGTTTTGCTTAGACTGGTTTTCGTTTTATTCAAGTTTCCGTTTAGACAGGTTTCACTATATTTGTAATACACAAATCAGGCATAATGGATATATAAGCTTCTCTTTAATTTTGTCAAATTTCAGTTGCTTTGAAACTTTTGATAAACATAATTTGGGTCTTATATCCCCAAGTTGTGTGATCTCATCAGGTGCAGGATTTGATGTTAGGTAGGTGTGCCTCCATCTAAATCTGTGCCTGATCAAAACTGGTTTGTTTTCACAGATTCTCTTAATTTTTGGACACAATGATTGGACTGATTAAACAAAACATGTCAACTTGATACTCATTATTATTAAATAAAATTTCATCATTGTTAACATTTCTGTTTGTTGGTCACCAACAAAATGAACATGTATTCCTTTACAACATGATGAAAGGATTTATATCGGTGAAGGAAAAATTCCAAATTCTGGTTTGTTGTGATACAAATTTCCCAATCTGGTGGATGGAGGTCCCATGGCCAGTTGTAAAAGGTTAAAAATCTACCATATCTTTATGATTGAAAAACTCATCAAAGATAATTGTCTTATAACTGTAATGCCAGGCATGCATTTAGTGAAAGATGCGCAAGACTCTTCAGTGGCGATTGATTAAAAAAAAAACCAGAAAACTTTAAATCCAAAGAAAGGTTAAGAAAATTAGTGATTTTATAGGAAGCTTTGATGAGAGATATAGTTTTTAAGATTCAGACTTTGTTTTTTAATTTGTATCTGAATCAGAAAATAGGATTAGAGTGTTGGTGTTCTGTTGTGCTATCTAATATTTTTAGCTATTCCCGTAAATCTTTTTATGCTTTATTTGACTTGATGTTAACCATTGTTTTTATAAGTTCCTCTTATGAACTTTTAGTTTTGTATTTCTTACATTAAAAATGCTTTTATTTTTATTTTTTTAGAGAAATTGAGAGAGAGACTTGAAATTAAATTTCCAAACCCTCACAGCAATTTACCTTCTACATTAGCTAGTCTAGGATACCCAACAAGAATGTAAGTATTTCAGATACATTAGAGTCGTGTGCTTTAAAATAAATGAAAGGCACCCTTGAGTGATTCCAGGGTAGGACTGTACTTGGCTCATAACATTTAGATGAATGCAGTCAAAACTGTATATAAAAGTCACTCTCGGGACCAGAGTATAATTAACTTACATTAGAAAGCTAGCCTTTGAATTGAGGTTTGAAATGCATAGGTATTACATTTTGTACAACACGGGCGCAAGAGGGTGACCTGAAAAGATAAGATTAAGCTAAATAGAGGTTACCCTTATACATTGTAGAAGGTTTGACTATATGATCAGAAAGATAACAATTTCAGATAGATTTAATAAACCAAATTAGAATTTTAAGAAAACATACCCAAATTCGTTAAAGTCATGTTGTGATTATTAGTTTAGACATTTGGCCTTTGATAAAGTAAAGAACAGCTCTTGAAGTAAGAGAAAGAAAAAGTACAAGATTTAAAAGTTATAAAAGGAAATTTATAGATTGCAATTAAGTCTTGTGTTATTTATCCTCTATTGCATTGTGCCAAAAATACAGTGATGTTATAAGTATTGTGTAGTTGACCTGCTATTATCTTATCTTTCTGAATCCATTATGTTTATTGTTGTCAAACAAATACTACAGTCATAATCATTCTAATAATACACTTTTGATGCATGTTCTTGGAATAGACCACTTTCCAGTTATGTCCTTCACTGGAAATGTTCATCAATTACTCACGCCTTTATGGCGTCATTTACCAGATAGAGATAACCGCCTGTATCCCTGCACTATTAAAGTTCATCAAGCGTCTTCATAATCGTCATATTGCAGGATAAACTAGAAATAATGTTTGTTCTGTAAGTACTTAATCACAATTCCCTAATGACAGCAGTGCTGATCATCAAGTATAAGAATTTACTTTGCCAAATAATTCGTGCAATATAGCATCATATTTTTTCAACCGTTCCCTCAACATGGGAAGGAAGTGACGATGCCCCTAAACACACGATTGATGTTCACTGAAACCAAACTTTTTTTTGTTTTGTTTAAGTCATTATTTTACACTGTAATTAAGTACATAATTTATTTGGCTAACCTACAGTCAAAAATTAGGGCCCTGCCGAATGGCGGCCGCCCTATAGTGATCAGTCTGTCCGTCCGTCCGTCCATAACAAATTGTGTCTGCTCTATATCTAGAGAACCGTTATGATTTCAAAGTTTATACTTGACTTGTATATTAACCAACACCAGAGGGTGTGTCATAATGTATGTACAACTTCCTAGGTCAAAGGTCAAGGTAAAAAAATTTGGTTTTAGTTGACAACCCCATGTCCTATGGTAAAGATTGTGTCCGCTCTATACATGTATCTTGAGAACCGTTATGATTTCAAAGTTTATACTTGCCATGTTTATAAACCAACACCAGAGTGTGTGTCATAATTTATGTACAACTTCCTAGGTCGAAGGTCAAGGTCAAAAACTTTGGTTTTAGTTGACAACCCCATGTCCTATGGTAAAGATCGTGTCCGCTCTATATCTTGAGAACCGTTATGATTTCAAAGTTTATACTTGACATGTATAAATACCAACACCAGAGGGTGTGTCATAATTTATGTACAACTTCCTAGGTCAAAGGTTAAGGTCAAAAACTTTGGTTTCAGTTGACAACCCCATGTCCAATGGTAAAGATCGTGTCCGCTCAATATCTTGAGAATTGTTATGATTTCAAAGTTTATACTTGACATGTATTTAAACCAACACCAGAGGGTGTGTCATAATTTATGTACAACTTCCTAGGTCAAAGGTCAAGGTCAAAAACTTTGGTTTCAGTTGACAACCCCATGTCCAATGATAAAGATACCAAATTTTTTACCACACATTATTCACAGCGGGGCCCACAGAGATGGCTCCCATCTCAATGATATCTAGTTTCATTTACTCTCATGACTATACAGTACAATACATTTTATTTTGGTCTTAAGTAGACTTTGTGTATTTATCATGAAAGGAAAATTCATTTGATGTTATAGAGAAAGATTATATGGAAGACCCCATTGTCCGAATATACAGTCTGCTGGAAAACTACAGATTGCACCAAAAGAGGTAATAATTTGTGAATTATTCATTAATCTTACAGTCTTGTATTGGTGCCAAAAAATGAATTGCTAAAGCCATTCACACTAAACCCATCATAATAAAATTGAGAATGGAAATGGGAATGCGTCAAAGCTGGTCCCTAATTATTAGTGTTGATTAAGCTTAATCTTTTCTAGTTTCAATTCAAGTTCATTGGTTATGATTTAACAATAAATATAAATTAGTAAGTGCTTCAGATTTCTTCTCTAATGTTTTGCTTAATGATTTTTGTTATGTTGCCTTACTGCGTCCAGCCAGGGCAACACAAAGGTTTGTTAATCTGCAACTTGGGAAATAGCTTGATAAAACTTAACCAAGCTTGCACCAAATCTGTGGAATGTTTGGGTTTTCCAAACTTTTATCCTCAAAACCTAATGTCTAAGACTTGATATCTCCTTAGTAGTTTCTGACAATGCAACAGTTAAGACGGAAGGTTAATACTGTTGTATGTTCATATTAAAAAATGATTTATTGTTTGATTTGTTCTATTTTTTTTTTTTAAGTGTTATATGTTCACATCAGAAGATTTAAAAGAAATAGAAGAAATAGGTCGTGGCAATCATGGAGCAGTTTCTAGAATGGAACACATAGAAAGTAAAAAAATAATGGCAGTTAAAGTAAGTTCATTCTTGATTATTAAATATTTGAAAATGCCTTTCAATTTTAGCAATGTGATGATGAATTATCTTCCATTAAAATGGCCACCATTTTTCTGATTCCGTTTGGTTGAATACTATAGATAGTTACTTGATATCGGCCTTTAAAAATCACTTCTGTCTATCACTATAACAATACAGGTTCAGACTTGCATTGGTAATTATTTTCGTCTCGCCTGCGAGAAAGCGAGACCTAGGAATTGCTTTTCCAGCGACGGCAATGACGGCGTCAACAATTGTTAAGTTTTCTGCTTAAGTTAGTTTGATAGGAATTACTTGTGATAGATCATTGATATTTTGTATAAAGATGCATTGCTATCAGTACATATCAGTTTGATGACAATTTTGAGGCCCTGTCCCCTAGGCCATGGTCCAGTGACATTGATTTAATTAGCCATTTTCAATGTTAAGTTTTCTGCTTAAGTTAGTTTGATAGGAAGTACTTGTGATAGATCAATGATATTTTGTATGGAGTACATTACTATCAGTACATATCAGTTTGATGATTATTATGAGGCCCTGCCCCCTAGACCATGGTTCAATGACTTTCAATTAATTAGCAGTTTTCAATGATAAGTTTTTGGCTTAAGTTAGTTTGATAAGAACTACTTGCGATAGATCAATGATATTTTCTGTAAAGTTGCATTACTATCAGTACATATCAGTTTGACAACTATTTTGAGGCCATGCCCCCTAGGTCATGGTCCAGTGACTTCCAATCAATTAACAATTTTCAATGTTAAGTTTTATGATAAAGATAGTTTGATAGGAACTACTTACAATACAGCCCTCAATTTAGGCTATTAAAACAGTCGCCTGTGTGACCTATAAAGCCTCCAGGCGACCTTAATTTCATTGTTGGTTGCCATTTGGCGACTGGTACTATTTGGACCTGGAGACCGTAAAATTCCGGATAATCAACCTGCCTCCGGTCGTATTTTATTACGTTTTATTCACAGTCATACGAGCGCTTGAATGTATGCTAAATCTTGAATATGATTTCACGCATTTTTAATCTTGACAGGGTCTATAAAGCGCTTAACTTAACTGGGAATTCAAGCGTCTTATGAAGTGTTTTTGGGGCCAATACATCATGGCAGCCAAACAGATGTTGCTGTCCAGATTTTTCAAAACAACTACCAAAAACAACGATTTTTCACCAGCTAAGAAACAAAAAGAAGGGGCAGAGAGTTCCTCAGAAACAAAAAGAAGGGGCAGAGAGTTCCTCTATAGGAACTCTGGCTTCTGAAGAGCCAAGTACATCTTCTAATGTTATGATTAAGCGAATAAGAAAAATATTAGGAAATTTATTGATATGCTTTTTTTACTAGTCTTCATTAGCTCTACTGACTAGACTTTCATAACAAATTTCTTAGGCGACCTGAAATTATTTCCTGGCCACTAAAATTTTGAATTGGCCACTGAAATTTTATATCTGGTGGCCAAAAGGCAACCTGGTCTTTAAACCTACTTTGAGGGCTGCAATAGACAATATTTTCTATAAAGTTACATTGCTGTTTGTACATCTCAGTTTGTCAACCATTTCGAGGCCCTACCCACTAGTTGGTCCAGCGACTTTGAATTAAATAGCAATGTTGCTGTCCATCAGATTGTCTTTTTCTGAATTTTATGCTGATAGGCAAGACATATCTCTGTGTCAACAGTTTATTATAATAGAGATATGTAAAATATCTGAAGTCAGTCAGAAAACGAAGTTTTTTGGCAAGTAGGGGAAGCCTAGAAGTCCAAAAAGTTTTATTGTAAAATCTGCCGATATTTTACCATATCTTCATCTTGTTAACCAGATAATCTGAATGTTGGATTGATTTGAGTGTTTTCTTTATCAAAAACATAGTTTCTCATAGGTTCTGAGGCATGTTGTACATAATAACTTGTAAAACATTATTGCATGGTTGACAACTGTGTCAACCTTGAAATTCATCAGGTTAAATCTTTTGTGAACTTTAAGCCACAATATATGTGGGGTCCAAGTCCTATGGAGCTACATATATAGTTAATGTGTAGACTTTATTACAAGTCCCACACCTGATGTTGCCATGTTGGTGGGCCCCCTTTTTCAAAATCCTGGATCCAAATCTGATACACTAGTCTGTCCAAAGGGCTGGTCTTTCTAGATTGTGACAAGTGCATTACTGTGTATGAGTCTACTAGTTTTGCAGAAAATTTTATTATTGAAAAACATTGTTTCAACCCATGTTCATTGTATTATGTCATGAAATTCACAGTTTTTATGGGGGCTTGGTGGCCGAAGAGTCTTACGTAGTGGAACTACTGTATCAATAGCCTGTTAACACTGAGGTTGTGAGTTCCAATCCTGTGGCAGGTGCACTCAACTCTTACCTTATTTGACTAGGATTGTCAGTTTTCTGAATGAAGGTCTGTGGTTCTCTCCAGGCACTCCAGATTCCTCCACCAATAAAAACTGACCGCCACAAAATAGCACAATAGTGCTGAAAGTGGTGTTACACACCAATCAAATGAGTCTTAACAAAGTTAAATATGTTTTCATATTTATGTATAGCTATTTTTTTCCTGACTTCGAGTATAAGATGCACTAGAAATGTGGTTGGTGATATACTTTTAATAATGAACTGTTTATGTTTTTGCAGAGAATACGATCAACAGTAGATGAAAAAGAACAAAAACAGTTATTAATGGATTTAGACGTTGTAATGAGAAGTAATGATTGTCCTTATATTGTACAGTTTTATGGTGCACTTTTCAAAGAAGTAAGTTTGTTATCATCCTAGAAAATATAGCACCCCTTTGATGTGAATTAAGTTTTAAGTACTGTTGTTGGATGATAACACAGTCAAACAGTCTACACCCACTTACTCATAATAACGCTATCATGGCTATGGTGATATAATTTTACCTTAAAAAAAAATGGAATAATGGGAATATTATAAATATGTACAATGTTTACATTCTAATATCACTCTGCCATGTTAATATGCTCACATGAGCATTGTGAGCTGAGTTTCTTATTACCATTTTATAGAACCTTCTAAGGCAGATATCATGTAAACATGGTAAATATTTGAATATTAGCGTGGTTTTTTTTAACTATTTTTCTACAAAACTTGCGGATGAGAGTCATTCAGATGCTAATCTAGTGACGACAAATTTTAATTGATTGTATAAAGCTTTATATATTGGAAGGTATAAGAGCTAGACGATCCAGATTTTGTGTATATATACCAGGGAGAGTATGGCCTGAAATTGCCTTTTGTGACTTTTGTCTCTTGTCCTTTTACATGTGTTTTACCTAATTTTTGTTTTTCAGTGTTTTACTACAGTGTTTAGTTTGGTTTTTTTTAAGTTTTCACACTTATAGAATATAGGCAAAAAATGAAAGAAAGATATGAAACCGTTGTGATGCATAGAATAAAAGTTTTATAAAAAAGAAACCATGGTTGGAAAGATGCACACAAATTTAAAAAAAACAGACAATCCTTTTAGTCAAATGATAAAAGTTTAGAGAAAAATATTTATTTGAAACATTACATTGTTAAATGTAGGATTATGCATGTTCTCAGAATGCATAGTCTTAAAAATGGCTGAAGCTTGCATTATAGACATATATATATTTCATTTCAGGGTGATTGTTGGATATGTATGGAAGTGATGGACTCTTCTTTAGATAAATTTTACAAATTTATATATAATGTGTTGGAAAGTTCGATACCTGAAGAAATATTAGGAAAAATAACAGTAGCAGTAAGTACATACTTTAAATCTTCAAGACAGGTAGCAATGTCCTATCTAGACCAAAATAGATGGCACCCATCTGCTCTTTCTTTGCACCCTCTGCCTATATAGTCTATGCATTTTTTGTATTCTGAAGGGACATAAATACTTTTCACTGCAAAATACTCATTTTCACTAATTGAAAAAAATGTTTATGACCAAAAAATACCATAAATCTAGCAAAAATACATTAGTTTATATAATTATTTCAATCTTTTTAACATTATCAAATTTGCCCATTTTCAGACAAGAAACCACACTAATGTACCGTTCATCTTAACATTTTGTCCCTCTACCTTTAAATCCCAGCTAGATCACTGCAGGTTCCTTGACAATCTACTGGTTTGAGAGATAAACTTGCATATAAGTGTAAAAAAGGTATATATTTGAAAACAGCTAAAAGTAAAATCTGATTACAGAATAGTTTAGATAGTATGAATGTTTTTGTGATGTCTTTGTACTGAAAATCATATTCACGCCATCAATACGATCACATTTATCTTTTAATTATCTGAACAAGATATTCAGTCATATTTAGATAAAACAAATATTAAATGTCTTTAATCACTATTACTTATATACATGGTATAGAATTTGAAAAGTAAAAAAGCAAAAATTTAGAAAATTGTGAACTTTTATTTTTAAATTTTTATCTTTTATTTCAGACTGTAAAAGCTTTAAATTATTTAAAAGAACATTTAAAAATTATACATAGGGGTAAGTATATATATTTATTGATTTCTGATTTCATAACAATAAAGTAGTTAAACTCCTGGTTAAATCACTGTGAGAGCAAGGAATATAGTTTGACCATAATTATGCCTTTATTATCTAATGGCAGTTAAAATTTACAAACTATACTCTTGAAGGTTGAACTCCCAATTTTTCAGAACTTACCTATTGTTTATTTTATAATTTGTTCTCATTCTGTATATGCTTGAATTGTAACTGACTTATACCATTAAACTGATTGATGTTTTCTCATTGACATATTAGCTTGAAAAGGCTATATATACATGATATAAATGCTTAATCAAACAACTGTCAGCCAGTCATTCATCTAAACGTCCTTATTATAGATTTCCCCATATCTTTTGAGATTTTTATCAAACTTGATGAAAAAGATCATTTAAGTTGTCATTAGTTGAATTCAGTATACTTATGATCTTAAATTTTCAGTTTCAGATGACATACTAAACTTATGTCAGGAATTGTCACATTAAAAAATGCAAGTAACAATTTTATATTGTAGATGTAAAACCTTCTAACATTCTGCTTGATCGTCAAGGCAACATTAAACTCTGTGATTTTGGTATTAGTGGACAGCTAGTAGATTCTATAGCAAGGAGTAGAGATGCTGGCTGTCGACCCTATATGGCAGTAAGTATTTCATCCTCTAACATAGGTAATATCCTGATATTTCCAGACATGATGCTCATTTTTAGCTCACCTGGCCCAAAGGGCCAAGTGAGCTTTTCTCATCACTTGGCGTCCTTCGCAGAGTTCACGAAAATGGTCGGTCCTGTCGGTCAAAATGAGGCTCGGACCAGTATTTTGAAGGCTAGTGCCGGTCCCGATGACCGCTGTTAAAACGGCCGTTGTAGTGCATATTTCGGCACTTTTTTACTTCTGTTATTAGATGTACCGCAACTGTTTCCAATAAGTGTTTACATCGGTTATCAGATGTACCCGCTGCCAATTTCCGGTACTGGTTTACAGATTTATTAAAAACAAACCAAAGCGGCGATCTACACGTGGCCTACTAAAATGTTCATAGAGCCATCCCTGGCAAACAATCGGCGATTGAACCCTACAATGGAGCAAACAAATACTGTAACAGCCGAGAAAGTGATTTAGATGATGAAATGGATAGTGAAGATGACTTTAAATAAGAACAATCAGAAGACCTGAACTGGTCCTTCATTGTTAATTTGCCTGTGGGTGCGAAGAATAAAACTAATATTAATAAAGTTATTTTTCGATAAAATATGTTATTAATTTTATTTCAGGATAAAATTGACAGATTTTGTAGGACTGGCTAAAATTTTGTAGGACTGACAAATAATCATGCTCTGTCGGTCCACATGAAAATAAGTTTTCGCGAACTCTGCCTTCGTCGTTAACTTTTACAAAAATCTCCTCCTCTGAAACTACTGGGCCAAATTTGACCAAACTTTGACCAAACTTGGTCGCAATCATTATTGGGGTATCTAGTTTTAAAAATGTGTCCGATGACAAGGCCAACCAACCAAGATGGCCGCCATGGCTAAAAATAGAACATAGGGGTAAAATGTAGATTTTGGCTTATATCTCTGAAACCAAAGCATTTAGAGCAAATCTGACATGGGGTAAAATTGTTTATGAAATTTTCAGATGAATCGAACAACCCGTTGTTGGGTTGATGCCACTGAATTGGTAATTTTAAGGAAATTTTGCCGTTTTTGGTTATTATCTTGAATATTATTATAGATAGAGATAAACTGTAAACAGCAATAATGTTCAGCAAAGTAAGATCTACAAATAAGTCAACTTGACCAAAATGGTCAGTTGACCCCTTAAGGAGTTATTGCCCTTTATAGTAAATTTTTAACCATTTTTCATAAATTTTTGTTATCTTTTACAAAAATCTTCTCCTCTGAAACTACTTAGACAAATTTAACCAAACTTGTCCACAATCATCATTAGGGTATTTAGTTTAAAAAATGTGTCCGGTGACCCCGCCTGTGAACCAAGACTGCCGACATGGCTAAAAAATAGTACCTAGGGTAAAATGCAGTTTTTGGCTCATATCTCTGAAACCAAAGCATTTAGAGCAAATCTAACGTGAATAAAATTGTTCATTAGGTCAAGATCTATCTGCCCTGAAAATTTCAGACCAATCAGGCAACACGTTGTTGGGTTGCTGCCCCTGAATTGGTAATTTTAAGAAAATTTTGCAGCTTTTGGTTATTATCTTAAATATTATTATAGATAGAGATAAACTGTCAACAGCAATAATGTACAGCAAAGTAAGATCTACAAATAAGTCAACATGACCAAAATTGTCAATTGACCCCTTAAGGAGTTATTGCCCTTTATAGTCAATTTTTTACAATTTTCATAAATTTTGTAAATTTTTGTAAATTTTAACAAAATATTTTCCACTGTAACTACTGGGCCAAGTTCATTATAGATAGAGATAATTGTAAGCAGCAAGAATGTTCAGTAAAGTAAGATCTACAAACCCATCACCATCACCAAAACACAATTTTGTCATGAATCCATCTGTGTCCTTTGTTTAATATGCACATAGACCAAGGTGAGCGACACAGGCTCTTTAGAGCCTCTAGTTTAAATGCATGACAGTAATTTTTCATTAATAAAAGTGAATTCTTGAGCATTTCATTTTCTTTGTAATTTGGTTGTAATTCTTGACCTGAATTTCAGTGGAATATTTCTGTTTTATTATACTTATTGTTTACAATAATTCTCCATTGATTAATTACCATCATCTTATATTGGAACTATTGATCATTGGGATAGAATTTAATAATTGAATATCCTGCAATGTTCCATTCAAAAATGGCCTTTTTAGTGATGAACTCAAGTTCACTCATAACTCCAGCTTTTAATGCAATATTTTTTAGCTAATTTGCATATGCTGTAAGTCCATGAGCTCAGATTGTTTCAAAGCAAGCCGGAAGAACAATATACATTCTAACCTCATGAAAATTCTGTAATGAAAAGAAAGACCAAGGGGAATAATAAAATGATTTAAAAGTAGACATAATTTTTGAGTGTTTTGACTTTGTATTTCCTTTGTAGCCTGAAAGAATAGATCCTAGAGCCTCAAGTAAAGGATATGATATTAGATCAGATGTATGGAGTTTAGGTATTACACTTGTAAGTATATACTGTGAATAGTCAAGGGAAATAAGATAGAATAGTCTGTTGTTGACAGTGAGAACAAAACATTCCAACAAATTAGAAATTTCCCAAGTGACTGGGCAAGAAACTTACAAAATTTTGTTATCTATAATATTGAATGAGTGTTCAGTAATTTCATTCACACCAAGAGTATAGACCTTTTTGGTACAATTTCAGCAATTATGGAATGAGTATGTAAAATAGCAATAACAAAATTAAATGTGAAAAACATTAAAAGGCAGTCATAATTGTGGACTACTTCTTTGCTGGAGTCAATTTCAATTGTGCAAATAAGCCCATTTCTGATCAATAAGTTATGTTTCCATTCATGTTTGTGTGAAATTGATGGCATCATTCAGGGAATGATAGTTTTGTAAATATCTATATGTAAATATTTTCATTTTATTTCAAAATTGTTTTCTGTAAACCTATGTTGGCTTAAAGTAACAAGATACTTAATGTGCTCACTGAAGAAAAACAGCTGTAAATTTTGGTCGCTCTCTGTTGAGTGCTTTTTTTATGATGTGCAATATAACAGTAATCTTTAAATATTGATCTGTTTCTATTATTTACATATATACACTAAAAATACATTGTTTTTCAGATGGAATTATCTACTGGTAAATTTCCGTATCCCAAGTGGAACAGTGTCTTTGATCAGTTAACACAAGTTGTTCAAGGTCCTCCACCACAAATAAAATCAGAGGGTAGATTCTCAGAAGAATTTGTACATTTTTTAAATGCTTGGTAAGAATTGACATTTTCAGTGGATTCATCATTTTTCGTAGGATGCAATTTTCTGTGGCTTTTGGTGGTTATAGGTAAACCACAAATTTTCTATTGGCTTGTATGCAAACTTTGGCATAACCAAGAAATCAAATACCGTAATCGGGCTTGTATAGTTTGCACTGGTACATAGTCCACACCCCCTTCTCCCCACGAAATTTCAGGTAAAAAAACTTTTTGTAACTGTTAGAAAAGGTCTAATGAAACTCTGGTAATTTCAAATCGTGCATGGTCGTTTGCGGTATTTTCTTGGAAAAACCTGTTTTCCATCATCAAACAGAAGCTGAAACTGCTTGTAAATGATTCTAGAACACTTCACAATTGTTAAATAAGTCTAAATCACACAAAAAACAATTTAGAAACTTGTGTTTGTTTAAACCGGAAGTTTGAATAGCATGTGTAAAAGAAGAAAAAAACGGTGAGAGTCGAAATCTGTACATCATAGATATCACTATAATACGACTTTGAAAGTAAAACAGTTCCATCTTTATGTAAAACAGTGTTAAATATATCTATAACATTAATGTTTGAAGGGTTTTAAGCTAATATAAAACATATTTGTCAGTATGAAACACGGAAACAGAACGAATAATAACCGATTACGTTTTGTAATTTACACATTGAAAGCTGGTTTACGCCTTACAGTAGTCTTTTTTACTTTTTTTGTATCGTTTCATTCAAGCAGATACCAGTTTATTTTAATCAATGCATTGAAAAGAAACAAAAGATTTGTAATGAAGTGTTTAACTTTTAAATTTATCAGTTTTAATTTGATATTGAATAAAAATAACTTAGTAATATGGATTAGGTAAAATTATTAGTTTTTAAAATGATAAGAGCGCCCTCTACAATATCAATAACAAACATGGTAGAACGTAAACAAACCACCTCACGATTTTTTTTCTCTTATTTCTTGCTTACTGTACTCTATAGTCCACACCCCTTCTGGCAGGTTCAATTTTGGAGAATAAAACCGCGGACTATACAAGCCTTTTAACGGTATACATGAAAATGCAAAATTTCCTCAATCCATGAAAAATAAATGAATACACAGTACTTAAAGTGATACTGTTTCAGAATATAATGTTCTATGTTCTATTTCCTTATGTGCTTTTTTCTTGACCTTGAATGCAGTGAAACATATCTGAATTCTTGGGTCTTATTGTTTAAATTTTTATACGACCGCAAAAATAAAAAATTTTTTGGTCGTATATTGGTATGACGTTGTCGTCGTCGTCGTCGTCTGGCGTCGTCCAGCGTCGTCCGAAGACACATTGGTTTTCGCACTCTAACTTTAGTTTAATGCGAATGGATCTCCATGAAATTTTACCATAAGGTTCAATACCACGAAAGGAAGGTTGGGATTGATTTTGGGGGTTATGGTACCAACAGTTAAGGAATTAGGGGCCAAAAAGGGGCCAAAAATAAGCATTTTTGTTACTTCCAGACAATAACTTGTGTGTAAGTGTATGGATCTCTCTGACATTGTACCACAAGGTTCCATATCACAAAGGGAAGGCTATAATTGATTTTGGGGGTAATTGCCTCAAAATTTTAGGAATTAGGGGCCAAAAAAGGGGCAAAAAACAAGCATTTTTCTAGTTTCATGACAATAATTTGTGTGTAAGTGTTTGGATATTTCTGAAATTGTACTACAAGGTTCCATATCACAAAGGGAAAGCTGGAATTGAGTTTGGGGGTAATTGCCCGAAACGTTTAGGAATTGGGGGCCAAAAAGGGGCCAAAAATAAGCATTTTTCTAGTTTCCAGACAATAACTTGTGTTCAAGTGAATGGATCTCTCTGAAATTGTACTGCAAGGTACCATACCACAAAGGGAAGGCTGGTATTGAGTTTGGGGGTGATGAATCATAAGGGGGTTCAAAAAATTTGGGAGGGGGATTTTTTTTTTTTTTTTTTTTTTTTTTTTCCTTTTTTTTTTCTTTTAAAATTTTCCATTTTAAGTTGGTTATTTCTGATTAATATTTAAAAGCAAATAATAATGATATGGTAGGAGATACACACCAAACAGGATGTGTAAATTATTATTATAAGTATTGTGCAATAGCAAGAAATTTTCAATTGCACAGTATTGCACAATAGCAAGAAATCTTCAATTGCACAGTATTGCGCAATAGCAAGAAATCTTCAATTGCGCAATAGCAAGAAATATCCAATAGCACAATATTGCGCAATAGCAAGAAATTGTCAATTGTACAGTATTGCGCAATAGCAAGAAATATTCAATTGCACAGTATTGTGCAAAAGAAGATACTTCGTATAAATTGCTTATTTCTTGATCAATTTCAATGGGGTTTTATTCTTGAATTCTTGGGGTTCTTTAATATGCTGAATCTAACCGTGTATTAAGTTTTTGGATTTTGGGCCCCATTTTTAAATTGGTCCACATTGAGGTCCAAAGGGTCCAAAATTTAACTTTGTTTGATTTCATCAAAAATTGAATTATTGGGGTTCTTTGATATGCCGAATCTAACCGTGTATTTAGATTCTTAATTTTTGGTTCCGTTTTCAAATTGGTCTACATTAAGGTCCAAAGGGTCCAAAATTAAACTTAGTTTGATTTTAACAAAAATTGAATTTTTAGGGTTCTTTGATATGCTGAATCTAAACATGTATTTAGATTTTTGATTATGGGCCCAGTTTTCAAGTTGGTCCAAATCGGGGTCCAAAATTAAACTTTGTTTGATTTCAACAAAAATTGAATATATGGGGTTCTTTGATATGCTGAATCTAACCATGTATTTAGATTTTTGATTTTTGGGCCCCGTTATCAACTTTGTCCACATTGAGGTCAAAAGGGTCCAAAATTAAACTTTGTTTGATTTCATCAAAAATTGAATTCTTGGGGTTCTTTGATATGCTGAATCTAACCATGTATTTAGATTTTGAATATTGGACCATAATAGGTGAATGTCCAATTTAAAATTTTTAAGTTCTTAGACCACATTCATTCTGTGTCAGAAACCTATGCTGTGTCAAATATTTAATCACAATCCAAATTCAGAGCTGTATCAAGCTTGAATGTTGTGTCCATACTTGCCCCAACTGTTCAGGGTTCGACCTCTGCGGTCGTATCAAGCTGCGCCCTGCGGAGCATTTTATTGTGTTTTGATATCAAACATTGTTTTTTTTTTAAATTTCAATAATGCAGCACCTTTCAGGTGGAATATGTGGATATCCAGTTAATAAAAATATGAGGAGATGTGGTGTAATTGTCAATGAGACAACTATCTGCTGAAGTCAAGAATGTGAAGAACTATAGGATACTGTATGACATTTAACAGTTAGCAAATACTAAACCAAACAGTATTGAGCTATTAAAGGTCATGTAAAACTGTACAAAAGTGGAAAACAATGCCATGATTTATACAACTATAAACAGAGAACAATTGTGGCAGTAAGAAAACACTATATAATCAGTTGGAAAGGGCTTAAACTTATTAGTTTGGTACTAAGCACAAAAGAAACTAACAAAAAGATAAAAGACAAAGTTTTGATCTATGAGTAACTTATGATTGCCATTTAGACAACTATCCACAGAATACCAAAGGTCAGGGATGTGAACAACTACATTTCACTGTATGGCCTTCCATAATGAGCAAAACCTATACCCTATAGCAAACTTTAAAAGGCCTCAGCATGAAAATTTATGAAAAAATTCTTAAGGCCTGATTTAAACAAAAACAAAATAAGAAAAATAGTTATGAAAGACATCAACCAAATTAAAAAATCTAAAATATTAAAATCTTCAGAAAGATTTCCTATCTAAAAATTACTTTCCCTTGGGACCATATATGGAACATCCCTTGTTTTGGTACATTTATATTGAATTTCCGTAATAACTTTTGTATTGTTTATTCTGTAGTTTAACTAAAGATGAAAAACAGAGACCGAAATATATCAAATTAGTTGTAAGTATTGTTTAATAGAAATATATCGGCAAGTCAATGATATTTTTTTTTTGAAAGATGAATTCAAAGAAAAAAAAACACAGGAAAATTGCCATTATTTAGCAGACAATCAAAGTACCTCATCATAATCTTGGTTTCTAGATGAAACTCTTATAAAAAAATCAGCAATATTATTGGGTGATTGCCCCACCGGCCTGACAGATTATTCAGAGTGAGAGGAACCCTTGCCAATTATTTTTTAAGAGAAAACCTCTGAATTATAACATTTAAAAAAAAAAAATTAGACAAATAATGATGGACCTATTTTCTCCTAATATTGTGTAGTTAGGGGAGTATCTGTTTGCAGTGCTAACCTTTTACTTCTTTATTCAGTTTACTATAATAGTATTATCTTTTTCCATAGGAGCATCCATTCATCAAACGCCATGAGGAGTTAGAAGTAGACGTAGCGGGCTACGTTTGCAATATTCTGGACCAGATGCAGGCCATTTCCCCAGATGATCTCATGGCTTCCTCATCTTCATGACATCCTCACACATTCTATCATTTATTCAGGGATTATAAATACTGCAGATTTTAAAACTGCTGGAATTCATAAAAGTTTTGCCAAGCTTCTGTTAATAGTTTCTCAAAGATGAAATATGTAAATGAAATTTTCACAACTTGATACACAAATGTAGTTGCATTATTATTTTGTAGAACTTTTTATCTATGCATAATTTTATTAAGTATTCAGTCATATTGGTTTGTAATCCAAAATAGCAAATATGTAGCCGTATTTATGGGCTTTTACTTCAGGTTCTTAAACTTCAGGCCAGTTAAATGTTTCCATTAAAAACTTTGTTCTGTACAAAGCTTCCTATTGATATGCTACTGTGGGTTCATTTATTTTCGTGGATTGAGGAAACATTGTATTTTTCGTGGATTGAGGAAACATTGTATTTTCGTGGATACCATTTGATTTCATGGTTTTGCCAAAATCTGTTAAATACAAGCTTAAAGGAAATTTGTACTTCCTTGAATACTTAAATTAGTGGATTACCTACACCAAAGAAATCCACCAAAATTCCACTCCACGAAAGATAACGAATCCACAGTAGTTCATTATACCTAAATTGTCATCCATTTAATTTATTTATAACCACTGATAATGTATAAGTTTGTTTTTTTTGTCTGTTCGATAAGAAGAAGTAGAAGATTAAATTCATCTATATTTGAAATTTGAAGAAAAAAAAAATGTTATACAATTTTTTATCACTCTTCAATTCTTTTTCAAGTCTGATTTTCCTGTTGATGGTCATCATAATTGGACAAATTATGTTCCCACGATAATTTTAATTCAAGGAGTTGTAATGGACAGTATATTTAAGGGATGGCTTAAGTAAGTTTGAGTAGATAAAGGAATGTTTAAAAGGAGCAAGGGTATCTAATTGTTTGAATATTATAAGGATGAAATTGATTTAAGTGAAAATTGTTTCAATTATTCACTTGTAAGCTTCAACTACTCTCTTAAAATTATTAAAGTAAGAAAAATAGTGATAAAAATTTTCAAACAGGAAAACAGGAAGGGTCTTTCCAGGTATTTACTGCTCAGTGTGCAAATCTGGTGCATTGCAAAGTAGGTCATTTGAAATTTGTTTTTTTTTTAATAATTATAATAAAAAACCAGTGTAATTTAACTTTTTAAAAATCAGGATTATAAATCTAATAAACGAGATAATGTTGGAGATTTAGTATACAGTGAACTATGACCTTATTATGGTGTGTTCGTTCATACTCAAAGAGCTAGTCACTATCATTTGACTTGCTCTGTTGTGTGTCTTTCATATATGTTTATAATGCAGCAGGTGTGTGGATATGTGTGTTGTGTAATTGTTTATGTATATGAGCGTTTATAGAAAACTTGTAATGCAGCAATATATCATTAAGAGCAGGGTTTGAGAGGATGATGCTTAATTCTCTGTATTTGCAGAAGAATAGGGAGTGCTTGATATATTTTTAAGTGCTATATATTGTTTATTTGGTTCAACAGCTGGACATTTTACACTTATTTAGTACCTCTCTTTTGTCTAGGGAGAGTTAAATATTTTTTCATTAAGAATTATTTAAATTTTAGTTTGTTTTAGTATAAAATGTTGTCTGACAGTACATTTACATCCAAATGCTGTAAAACAAATTAATTTCATAGATACTTTTTTTGTCTCGCATTTGATCCTTTCTAACGAAATTGAGGACAAGTCATTTTTATGATTTTCTAACTCTTTTATGCTTTCACATAAGAGAAGATCCCATTTTGAAACATTTGTGACAATTTATATTCACATTAGTTGTGAGTTCATAGGAAAGATGCTTAAATCACTCACAAAATTCAGTTGGTTTACAGTATTTTTAAGCAGAAATCAAGATTCTTCATATTTGCAGTACATTTTTAATGACAAATTACACGTAAATGCTCTTTGACAGTTTTGACCATTCTGAAAAAAAAAGATTTATATGCAGTTTTAAGGAATCAGTATTTCAATTTTATAATTTCCATTTATAAGAGCTACTTTTGTTGTCTTTCCTGTAAAGAAAATGTCAAAGACTATACAAAGAGATTCTCAATTTGGTCATTGATGTCTTTGTTCTGATTAACAATTGGTTAGCTTCATAATATTTTTTATGGCTGTAATAAATCTTCGGGTCAGTATAGAATGTTATGAAAATTTGACAGAAGTTTCTGTGCGATCAAAATATACATGTATTTAACATAAAATGTATAAAAAACTGTTTTCAATATTTTATGATTTAATGGTTAACTCATAATGGCTTTATAGATTTGAATTTTAAATCATTAATAATAAAAAAACAACACAAAACAGATATTTATCAAAGCTAGTGAAACAAGTCTAGAGTCTTATAAATACAAAAGTAGTATTAAATAGAGAAAAACTTCATTAGGCATAATTGATTAAAAGAAATTTAGTCGTTAAGAATTGAGAGGTGTTTGTAAAGGCATAAACTATCACAATTGTTTAGCACTCGTCCTTCTTGCTGATGATTTAAATACTTTCAACTCTACATGAACTATCATTTGAAAAAATCTCTGCCATAGGATTTTGAAAGGTCAGTGATGTTACATGTTTTACCATTGACTAATAAAACTCTTCACTTGTTGATGGGATTTTTTTCAAGTGTCCAGTATTTAAGTTTTCTTGTTCATTTTATATCATGAATTGTCCAACTTTTGTTGATAATTTCGATGTATTAGAATAAAAACATTGTAAATATCTGTTCAACATAGTAATATCTTTACACATTTATATAGAGACTCTAATGCATTTTATGTCAAACAGCTGATTTAATGTACTCCATATTTAACCAAAAAATCATTCAAATCTATGTAAATTTGCTCAACTCATTCATTATGAAAATCTCTTCTTCCATTGATGGGTATCTAAGATAATTGATAGAAAAAGGATTTAAACCACACATGGGTTAAATTGTCTCCACTATAAACCTGTTATTTCAAATTGTGGTAAATAATTCATAGTGATTTCACACTGTTTATAATTGTTTTCCATAACAACACCATTGTTTCCTATCCTATCATGTGATCTGACAAAAGAAAGATGGAAAACATTTGACATATTCTCCCAACATTGGATCATAGGTTACAATATTTCTCCACTCTCGATAATCAAAATTATAGTTTTAAAATATGATTATCTCGAGTGGAGAAAGATAATAAATCACTCAACAGGAGAATTTTATTTTTTAAATGTCAGTTTTAAGAAGAAAGTTGATAAGGACACTCCAGGATTTTTGCATGGATCATTAAATGGAGTTAAATAACTGCATGTAAATATTGTAGCAGTTTAGTAGCATTCAATATTAAAATTTGGAAATATGACACACTCTACAAAAAAGCATCAAAACGTTTCATATTGTCATTCATTTTTAATGATAGGTGTATATTACAAAATGGATATGTATTCTGTTCATGAAGGAAAGTAAACTTCAGATATTGTAAATTTTAGTGCATTCTATAAAAATTCATTTTGACAACCTTGAAAGTGCAATCTATAGAATTTAAATATTCAGTAAACAATGCCCATATTTGAAGTCTCTAGAGTAAAATTTAATTTATTTTTGCATTCTGAAATAATTATTCATAGGCTTTCCTTACATATGTCATCTTTTACATTAATAGTTAAATTAGGTATCAGTAAGTACATGTATATGGCTGATAAGTGTGTTAAGCTACAAGTAAATGTGCAGGAAAATGATTGATACAGTCCTTACAAGTAGTATGTACAACATCAGAAATTTTGGAAGGGAATGTTTAGGAGAAAAACAGGAATTTCACTCAAGGACTTGTCATTGATGTATACATCCACTTGTTTCATCCATATTTATAATTTATAAAATCACAAGTTTATTCAGCTAATTAAAATGACGTCTTTTGACAATGAATTTCCCAACTATAACATTAAACATTTACCCCTGTGACATTTAAAAGAATGTGAACACTTGTGATTTTCTGCAATGGAAGAGTATATTGTAATGCCTGCATGTGATCTCATACTATGAAATAGGTACATGCAGTATGATGAAACATTATATATTTGTAATGTTTTTTTTTATCTTTGAAAGCTTCTGTAATGAGATTAAGTAGTTTGACAAAAAAAACCAGAAAATCCGTAAAGATTTCTTTAAATTGTTATTTTTGTTCAGTTAAAGATAAATTAATGACTATGTTAATTTTTCTGTGAAAATTCTAATCATGAATTCATGTATGCTATGATTAAAAAATTGAGTTTTACATATAAATTGCATGCTGCTATTTTTTTCAACTAGCATAGAATTGAAGGGTATTTTTCTGTTGCTGAAATTTTTATACTGTTTTCAATTTAAATTAATTTTTAAATAATTATATTTTAAACTTCTTGCATTAATGCTGAAATGGAAAAACATTAACTGTATATCCCATTTGCTAATAAGTTTACCAGTAAATCAAACAGATACAGTTCTTGACTATAGTAACTGGAAGAATATCGTACAAGTGAGTAAAAAAAAGAATAGAAACAAAACTTGAATCGTACCTAAAAATACCTAATCATTAAAGTACAGACAAACCTGTGTTAAAAGGTCACCCTTGAGACTAGCAAAAACTGACCTTATAAGAGAGATGACCTTTGAATCGAGGTTCAAAATGCATAGGTATTTCTACAGAGGGACATGAAGAGGGTTACACCTAATAGAGGTGACTTTTGTAACAGGTTTTACTGTTGACTTTATTTAAACACAAATCATTTTTACATTAAAGTCAATGAAAGGACTCCTGAATACAATAATATTTAATGGAGATCTAATGTAGAGACAGTTAGTTACTTGTCCTTCTATAGGGTCACATGGCGACATTGTGATTGCCAAAATGGAGAATATTTATGGTGAAAGCAAAAAAATAAATTGATTACAGTAATTTTAATGAAAGTCTCTTGTAACATACTGTGATTGCCAAAATGGAGAATATTTATGGTAAAAGCAAAAAAAAAATTGATTACAGTAATTTTAATGAAAGTCTCTTGTAACATACTGTTTTGTGTACTTATCTGATTGAACGATATCAGTCAGACATTGAAGTTTATGTAAAATTAAGTGACATATTGAAGATTGATTTCTTTGATATGAAGTGCAGTTTTTACCAATGTGATGACTTGTAAGATGGGAAATAGTGCTATTTTTATTGAAATAAACTTATTTGTCAGTTATGACATAAAAAAAAGTATACATGAAATGATTTTTTGTCTTATTCATGCCTTACTTGCTATAAAGTCTTATGGTATTTACGTTTGTTAATTTGTCCATCCTTTATTTAAGTTGCAGTTAGTAATTTCATATTAAACAATAGGATTCTCATTAACAGAAAATGTCAAGTATGAAAATAATAGATCTTTCCTTCAGGCTTCATTAGCACAAAATGCTTTACCATTAAATGTTGCATACGAAACAACTATAGATATAGGTAATGAAAAGATGCATTTTTCTTGATGTTAAGCTTTGGTATGTTTTAAATGTGAGTGGCAAAAGAAATTCAAAACCCACATAAAATTCACTCAAAAAAACCAAACCAAAAAAATGACTGGTTCTCATTAAAATTTGATGAACTGATCTGAATACCTATCAATTTAACTCACCTGTAATCTTTTCTCATCATTTTGCGTCTGATGTCGTCTGTTAACTTGATAAAAAATCTTCTCCTTTGTCACAACTTGTCAACAATCATCTTTGGGGAATCTAGTTTAAAAATTGTGTCTGCTGATCCCGTCTGACAGCCAACATGGCCAACATGAATTACAGAAGTACATAAGGGAAAAATGCAAATTTTGTCTATTATCTTGAAAACCGCTATGAAGAGAGAAAATCTGACAGGTGCAGAAATGTTGATAACATTCAGATACTGACCATTCACATTTAAACTGTCAGACAACTTATAGGAGTTATTCCCCTTAAATGACAAATATTACCATTTATGTTGTGCCTTCGACTTTTGTCGAAAAAGCGAGACATTGCGATCCTACATTCCAACAGCGGCGTCGGTGGTGTCCACAAATATTCACTCTGTGGTTAAAGTTTTTGAAATTTTAATAACTTTCTTAAACTATCCTGGATTTCTACCAAACTTGGACAGAAGCTTGTTTATGATCATAAGATAATATTCAAAAGTAAATTTTGTAAAAAAAAAATTCCCTATTTTTTCCGTATTTTACTTATAAATGGACTTAGTTTTTCTGCCAGGAAACATTACATTCACTCTGTGGTTAAAGTTTTTGAAATTTTAATAACTTTCTTAAACTATCCTGGATTTCTACCAAACTTGGATTGAAGCTTGTTTATGATCATAAGATAGTATCCATAAGTAAATTTTGTAAAAAAAAAATTCCATTTTTTCCGTATTTTACTTTTAAATGGACTTAGTTTTTCTGCCTGTTAACATAACATTCACTCTGTGGTTAAAGTTTTTAAAATTTTAACAACTTTCTTAAACTATCCTGGAATTGTACCAAACTTGGACAGAAGCTTGTTTATGATTGAAAGCTAGTATCTAGAAGGAAATTTTGTTAAACTTTTATTCTATTTTTTCGTATTTTACTTATAAATGGACTTAATTTTTCTTCCAGTTAACATAACATACAGTCTGCAGTTTAAGTTTTTAAAACATTTATTAGATTCATAAACTATCCAGGATTTTTACCAAACTTGGACAGAAGCTACTTACAATCAAAAGATAGTATAGAGAGGAATATTTTTATTATTTTTTTTCCTCTTTTTTGTTGAGCCTGTGATTAACAGCAAAAGTAGGAGAGAAACTGGGTTCCGCGGAACCCTTACTAATTTTTCATTCATTTTTGCCTATTATCTTGAAAACTTTAATAGATAGAAACTTTAAATAGCAAAAAGGACCAGTAAGACGAGATCTACAAATAAGTCCGCATGGCTGAAATTGTCAGTTGACTCCTTTATTGTAGTAATTGCTCAAATTCAAGACTGTTGTTCCTATTCTAATGCAATACTGTTATAGTTACTGCAAAACAAACATAGTAAACATCTACTGTGCGATTGCACAACTTGACTCTGACAGACAAAGGTGGAATTGATGATAGTTGGCATTACATGCCTTACTGCATTAGGTATAGCTCCACTAATTTGGCCCAGTCAGAAAGAACATACAAGATAGCAGAACATATTTTATACAAAATAATTCCTACGCATAGCTGTAACTTTGTCAATAAGTAAAATAGTAAAATATTTGGGTAATTTTGGTATCAAATGAAAGCTTGAGGACTTGGTATTGCAAGCCGTGTTTATACGACTGCAAAAAATTTTGTGGTCGTATATTGGTATTATGTCGTCATCGTCATCAGAAGACAGTTGGTTTCCGGACAATAACTTTAGTATAATTAAATAGAAATCTATGAAATTTCAACACAAGGTTTATAACCACAAAAGGAAGGTTGGGATTGATTTTGGGGGTTATGGTCTTAACAGTTTAGGAATTAGGGGCCAAAAAGAGGCCCAAATAAGTATTTTTCTAGTTTCCAGACAATAACTTGTGGAAAGATGTATGGATCTCTATGAAATTATACCACAAGTTTCCATACCACAAAGGGGTGGTTATGATTTGCTTTGAGGGGTTATGGCTCAAACGTTTCATATTAAACAATAGGATTCTTATTAACAGAAAATGTCAAGTATGAAAATATCAGATCTTTCCTTCAGGCTTCATTAGCACAAAACGCTTTACCATTAAATGTTGCATACAAAACAACTATAGATATTACTGAATAAAATAGATATAGGTAATGAAATCTATGAATTTTAAACACAAGGTTTATAAACACAAAAGGAAGGTAATGAAATCTATGAAGGAATAAAAAGGGGGAAAAACAAGGGTTTCCTGGTTAATGGACAATTACTTAAGACAATTTAAAAGCAGTGTAAGGGAGGTAATCCAATCAACATTTTGATTACCTCCCTTACACTGCTTTTAAATTATGTATAAAGAAAATGTATTGTCTTGAGATGATTAGCTGTCAATTTATTTTAAGAAGTTACTATTAAGGAATATAAATTTTAGCCATGATTATGTATGTCATTTTCTATTTTAAGTCTTTTATGATGTATTTAAATGGTAATTATGGTTGCAAACTCCATTGGTAATTTGAATTGAGATTATGACCATATCTTGAGGGTAAGGATTTTTTTTTGGGAAAAAGGGGGGGGGGTGAAAAAAAAATTGGGGGGTGGGGTAAAAAGAAATTGTGGGGGTCAATTTTTTCTCATTTCAGACTTTCAGAAATTAAAAAGAGGAAGGGGGGGGGTCAATACACAACAGCATAGTGTATTGCACAAAAGCAAAAAAAAAAGGGTAATTTTTTTTTTGTGGGGGAGGAGGGGTCAATTCGCAACAGCAGGTGTATTGCACAAAAGCAAAAAATTGAATATAAATTTAAATCATATAACCAATTCTAAGTTCTTTGACTACAGTTATTCTGTGTCAGAAACCTATTATGTGTCAAATATTTAATTACAATCAAAATTCAGACCTGTATCAAGCGTGAATATTGTGTCCATTTTTGCCCCAACTGTTCAGGGTTGGACCTCTGCGGTCATATCCAGCTGTGCTCGGCGATGCAATTTAAACTATTTATTCTAACTTGAAGATATCTAATAAACTTTATAAGATATCTTATATAGTTTATAAGATATATCATATATTTTATAAGATATCTCATAAAATTTTCTTTATATCTTATAAAATTTTCTTTATAAGATATCTTATACATTATATGAGATATCTCATAAATTATATGAGATATCTTATAAACTAAATGAGATATCTTATAAACTATATAAGATATCTTATAAAATATATGAGATATCTTATAAAGTATATAAGATATCTTATAAACTTTAAAAGATGTCTTATAAAGTTTATACGATATCTTATTAACTTTATCTTGAAGTTAGAATACAATTTTCTTTATAAGATATCTTATAAATTATATGAGATATCTTATAAACTAAATGAGATATCTTATAAACTATATAAGATATCTTATAAAATATATGAGATATCTTATAAAGTATATAAGATATCTAATAAACTTTATCTTGAAGTTAGAATAAATAGTAAAACGACTTGCACTTGGAATCACTAGAACCCTTGTTGAAAAGTTGTTTTTTTTTTAATAATAAAAAAATGTATCAATTTAAAATAAAATGGCATATTTGCCCATTGCTCAGATCAGAAGTACTTGTTTTTGTACTATCCAACTTCCAGGAACCAGTGTGCTCTAATATGCAAGTAAAGGCATGTTGATTTTTTCAGCACAAGTCAGCATAATGTATAGTTTTGACATGAAATGACTGTCACTTTATTTGATCTTAAAGCTTGAAGTTGCAGAATTTAATATAGAAAGCAATGGGGTTATACATTAATGGTGTTATTCCATTAGAATGACAAATTACCTCGACTTAAGACCTCAGTTTCATGATGTAAATATACATTATAGATCTACAATATTTAGATTTATTTTTCTCTTGCCTGTGACGAATGATGCGGAATGGGAGACAGGAATGATAATAATTGCTTAAACTAAATTAATTGTATTTAGAAGACTTAGATCCTTCACATGTTGTATACATATGCCTTTGTTTTGAAGGAAACTTCTGGCATATGTCCATTGTATTTATTCTCTGTTTCATGGTTTTGTGGCTGAAGGGCATACGATACAGTAGCAGGGGCAGATAATAACGTTTTCAAAACTTTTCGTGTTGTTTTCGCGACGTTGTTAATCAGAACGTTGTAATTTCGCGATGTTTCTAATAAGAACGATTACATTTCGCGACGTCGCTTTAGATGTAGTCACATTTGCGGAAATCCACTGACGTCATAATCCCGATTGCGCGAATTTGAAAAAAGTACCTTCTTCTTCTTCTTTCGGTTTTCAGTAGTCCTTCAATATCTGAAGATTATATACTGTTTTGCGCTGCGTGGCCTATATATATATTTACAAAAACACAAAAATAATTGAAAATGAATTTGGAGTGCGTGAGAATTTTAAATTGTGATTAAAACTATGTACATAGGCTAATAATGAGTTAAATGAATTTGTGGAGAACAGTTGGTGTAAGCTGTTCTCTGAAAGTGTCGACTGTGGTTACAGCGACTGTGTGGACTGGTAGTAAATTGCAATGAAAATCGGCCAAATCACGAGAATTGTTATATTTATTCATTAATAAGGAAGTCAACAATATTAACTTCGAATGGGAAAAAAAATCAAATCCACATTCTTAATTTTGTATGTCTGTTATTTGAATATTTCATATAGGAAATGAATAAGAGATATGAAAAACATAAGACGTCGATGAGAGAGAAACCCAACTACAAAAAAAAAACAAAAAAACAATAAGTAATTTATATTGTAACTTCACCATTTGGCTAACTCTAAATCGTAATGAGAATTGTACGGATAAATTTAACAGAGACTATCAACAAAATGACAAAAAAACGTAATAGGTAATGACAGCGCATCTCACTGTTCCTGACTTTGAAAAGGTACATTAAAGAGTTTAACGGCATTTTTAGAATTTAACCCGTGGAATATATAAGTGTATGAAGAAGAATTGTCAGTTAAAATGACTCAAGTTATAAGCCACGTATTTTAGACCAAAAACAAAAACGCACCCGTTGATGTGCTAAGCATATCCTCGATGTACATATTGAGAGAGCAAAATCGGCACACAGGAGTTAGGTATTTGACAGACCAGAGTTGCAACTCATTGATGTTAAGTTACTTACCAAATACGAAGTCTTTTTTTAAAGTAGTTTCTCAGATAAGAAACAAAATATTTGTTGGACCGGACAAACAATGTGGTTGCACTCACTCCTAGATTGAAGGTATAATGCAGACAAGTAATTCAATGATTATATGTAACGTAATAAAAAAAAATACCCTGAAGACAAGCTTAGGTAACTTATCTATTGATACAGAATCATTAAATTTCATGCTCTAATACCGACTGCTGTATGAAATGTTATACTACACTGTAATGGACTAAGCTGACCCGATTTAATGTGGGTATGATTTTGTGTTCATGTAATGCCTAAAGAGTAGGTCGTTTGTTTTCTTGATTGAGTTATTTCACATTTTCATGTCGGGGCTTTTTAAAGCTGACTACGGTGTGGCTTTTTCTTTTTCTTTTTTTTTGTGTTGAAGGCCGTAGGGTTACCTTTAATAGCGTTTATCTTCGTCATTTGAACTATTGTTGATAGTTGTTTCTTTTGCAATCATACCAAATGTCCTTATTTTTATATCATCCCCCTTACTTTATAATTGTTGCACATTTTGTCATGTCGGGGCCTTTTGAATAATTAAAACTATGTTCAAGCTGTGTTGTCTACATGAATTGTATGACTAATGTCGGACAGAGATGCAAATTAATTTTTTTATTATATATATCTGTTTTGTTTCCGAACATTTCTTTTCTAAAAGTAATTTACTAGAATACTTTTTCTATCCAAATTTCGTGACAATTCATAAAGGTTTGGGAAATATGATGCTATTTTACGAGGAGCCAGCTTTATTAATTTTCATGATTAATATCATTGGTTTTTAAAAAAACACACCTTGCCTTTACCACTGAAATTGACAACGTAGTAGTAAACGGCGGTAAAGATTTCACGACGTTGTTGCGAATAAAACTTATTCCAACGTAGTTTGGCGCCTTATTGGCAAACAGGTTTATTGCTTTTATTGAAAAAACAAGCACATGGACCCCCAGTTTTTTTCTTTTGCAATCGATTAAGTTCTGTTTCAAGAACTTTAAGAATAAATCAACGATAGAATTTTTTCTGCACTTCTGTGTAGACGCAAAAATATTTTCAACTTCTTTATTTCACTTGTATTAAAAGAATTTAGGATATAATTATTTATTTCAACCGTTAACTTGTTACAGCATGCGGATGCCATGGATCAAGGGAACATTTTACAAAAAAAACAGGTTAAATTATGACAGTACGTTCAAAAGTATTGGTACTTTCCTTAAAAGTCCTTATTTATGAAATTTCAGGGTTTTTCCTTCAAATATGCAAATTTCGAACAAAATTATCTCAAAAAGTAAGTCATGAAGGTATATTTTTCTTTGCATATTTCAAAAGTACACGTCAAAATTGACCTTCTACCAAAATTTCAAAGAAAAATCAACGAGGGATCTCTACTGTATCGTATGCCCTTAAAGAACTGTTTAGTTTTTTTATTACGTAATTTTCTCATGAGTATAATGAAAAGGCTATACTTGTTGTCATTAGAATCATTGCGAGGTTAACCTGTCAGTCACATAACCTTGACCTTCTTTCATTGACCAGTGATCAACCTTAATTTGTCATGGTTGGGTTATTTTCTCAGATACTATACACAATAGACCAACCAAACATTTAGTGTATGTAAGGATTGTAATATGTACATACCTGTATGGCAGGGTTCATCTGACCATGACCTCATTTTTATCGTTCATTGATCAATATTAAGTTTTCATGGTAAAGTATATTTCTCTGATACTATAACCAATATGTCAACGATATTGGTGAATAGAATTATTGCAAGGTGTACATGTCTGTCTGGCAAGGTTCATGTAAACTTCATTTTTATTGTTCATTGGTCAATGTATTTCTCTGGTGTATGGAACTTGGCTCTGGTGTGAGATTTGTTCGCAGTTCCTCTAGTTTATGTGATACTTGAAATAAAACCCTATTTTGAAGACTATACACAAAATTCAATTATAACTGGGACTATTAGTATAATAGTCCCAGATTATAACCAGCAAATCCGGCCATACGTTTCAGCGTGTGCACCCTTGTTATGAATAAAAGGAATTATGGGAAAGACGTCAATGAAACAGCGACTCAACGACACATTTATTTATGTTTGCTTGTTTTATGAGAAGTACATCGCTGTATGACATGTCATTTGGCATTTGCCTCATTTTCACGCTCCTGTGCAATCTATTCAAAATATAGATCTCTGGTTTCGTTATCCTCATATGCGCTTATAATACAAGAATGCGAGCTGTGTAAGATCTGAATTTTAATCGTATTGGCTCCAGAGTGTATTTTCCAGATAAATTCTTGCTAAAATTAACTTTGCATATTTTGATATGTCAACATTATTGGTCAGGAGTATATTTTCTAATAACCTGTCATTTGGCCTTGACTTCGTTTTTCCAGTGATGAGGCTGAGTTGAGATAAATGTCTTTTCCCAGAAACGAATATGTCATGAAACGGGAATTTGCTGCATAAAGTATATTTCAGTATGACATCTGTCATATGGTCTTGACCTCATCTTCACACACCCAGTAGCCAGATTAATGCCATAGGTCTTATTAACGTATCAGTTCATACCATTTGAAGTTATAATTTGAATTAAATGTGTCCGTAAGATTTTTTATTCATCAATACTCTTCCTATTTTTTTCATTTGATAATCAGAACTCTACATATTGATTTTTATAGTTTGTCTTTATGTTGTGCTGTTACACAACTGTCCACGGTTAGGGGAGGATTGGTCGCTGGCTTCACATTCTGTATGTGCCTGTGCTAAGCCAAGAGCCTGTAATTCAGTGTTTGTCGTTGGCTGCTGTCGCTGTTTATCATATTTGTTTTTCGTTTATTGTTCTGTACATAAACCAGGCGTAGATTTTTTATTTGAATTGTTTTACATTTTATCATTTCTGGGCATTTTATACCTTACTACATGTATACGGTATTGGTTTTGCTTATTGTTGATGGTCGTACGGTGGCCTATAGTCTCTGAGGGTTACTTGTCAATCTGATTAAAATTCAGACCTATATTAACTCGGGTACTCGTACATATAACGAAATCAGAGAACTATATTTTAATTAGATTGGTTAGTTGTCTCATTGGCAATACCTTTTTATTCTTTTATAACTATATTCCTACTGAGCGTTCAATTTTCTTCATGTTCTTGTAATGCCTATTAACGACCCGATTTGAAAGTGATAATATTTACATTAAACATTTTAATATAGGTAGAAGAGAAACATAGGATTTTGGAGGTCATTTTGTTGTTAAGAAAGGTTTAAATAATAAGATCAAATCCCACGACCAATTTATTCAAAAACAAAACAAATACTATAAAAAAAATATCATGCATGGATGAGTATCAGTTTCAAATAAGGAGGATTTCTGAGCATCTTCGCAAAACTCCGTCTTCTAAACCAGTGAGTCTCCAATTCATTCAATCTCATATGAGACAAAATTTTCTTTTCAACGACGAAACAAAAACCTGTAATAATTATAAAACTGTATTATGCGTATATAGTAGCTCAGCAACACAAGCAATGCTCTTTTTCCCCTAGGTAATAAAATTGAGAATGGAAATGGGGAATGTGTCAAAGAGACAACAACTCAACTAAAGAGCAGAAAAAAGATCAAGGCCACCAATGGGTCTTCAACACAGCGAGAAAATCCCGCACCTGGAGGCGGACTTTGAGTGGCCCCTTAAGGGCATACGATACAGTTTTGATCCAATAATGAAATGTTGATGAAAATTTGCATATAGGCTATTTTTTACCTGATTTAATCAAATATGTAATAAAAAAATATACCTTCATGTGCTACTTTTTGAGTAAATTGAGGTCGAAATTTCAGATATTTGCTCAAAATTCGGATTTGTGGACGTATTTTTCCTTTCGACAGAAATACATTTCTTTTTTGTTTTAAAAGATAAACACAATCTGTTTTTTGTTAAATTATTTGTAAATTCTGTTTTATATAAATGTACTATAAATTTGTGCATTTTATTTTTTCAAATAACTCATATTTATCAAATGTTCATGAATGTAGAAAAAAACGTCATTTTTTGCTGTATATTTATCAAATTAAAAAAAATTGCATTATTGACTTTTTCATGAAAATTGGTACACATAATCATCATACGTGACCAAACTAAATGTCATTTTAAAAAAGAGGGGTCCATGAACTCGTTTTCAAGATAAATCAGTTTGAATGATAACAAACAGTCGAAAACTGCATCTTTTCCCGATATGTCACAGTTTGACGTCGCGAAAATAACAATTTACGTTAGCAACGTCATTACCTCCCCTGTAACTGTATCGTATGTCCTTAACAAAAATGTATACGGGTTCAGAGAAAATGAACACTTTTTCCCAAATATGTTCCAGATACTGTTGCTGAGTATTTATACATTCCGCACAGCCACCCTTCTTTAGCAAGGTTTGACTGTCTGGTGGAAAGCATATATCTGCACCCCGGACAACCCGTTGGGTTCTTCAATATTGAAACTTAGAGAAAACTTGCAAGTATGTATCAGATAAATTATGCAATAAGATAAACTAATCATCAATCTTAAAATTTGAAAGAACAAATGAGCGTTAATTCTTTTCATTTTGATCCCTTGATTTTTCATTTGTTGAATTTCTCAACTTTCTTCCTTCTGATTCGCAACAGGAAAAGAGGCAAACATGTTTTTTTTTGTTCGGAATGTTTTCCAAAAACCATTGTCTGGTTAACAATGACTAACAATACAATAACTTTCCATAACAATACAATATCTGCTCACCTATATATCCCAGCAGCTACAAGAGAACCGATTGCTGGTCCTATCCAGTAAACATAATGATGTTTCCATACATCCGTGTTAAAAGCTGATACAGCCAACGCTGGTCCGAAACTTCGTGCTGGATTCATTGAACCACCTGTGGTCATCCCCCTGTCAGGTAAAAGTATATTTTGTCATGTGTTATTCTTAAGGTGGTACCCAACACCTTGACTAATATTAATTTGACTCGTTTGATTTTCATAAAATTTTGACAAAATGTTTACTTTGACCCTTTGACAAAAATATAAAAATTTCAAAAAATTTGAACCAACCACTTTATCAGAAAAATTTCATTGGTTATATAGCAGTTTGACAAACACTAATTTTGATCATTGAGAAGCTTAATATTTCCTACAACAATACAACGTGATTAAAACGTTTAGCTGATTTTTACCTAGTTATCTCCCTGTAGTGTTAGGTACCACCTTAAGGCTTCTGATGCATTTTTCATAGGGTCCTATGTTAAAAATGGCCATCTAACTTAAAAATTAGATCGGGAACAAAATCCTAAAATTTGTAAAGACTAACGACATAACACTACATCCAGTACAAAATCAGTCTTCCAAGAAGATATATACTTTGGTTCGGTTCATATGAAAAACATGGCGACAACACTGCCATACAGCCGTAGTTCTCAATAAAGTAAAAACGTTAATTTTTTATCTCTCAAACATGGCATGAATAATGTTGAAGTCCTTCTTTTCAAAAGCTCTCATTATTTTTTTTATGCATCTTTTTTATTTTAAGGGTGCTTGAGAAATGTTTTTCGGATCTCCGAAGCAAGATTTTAAATAAAGGTCCAGAGGAATAATGAAAACAAGCAAAATAGCAAATAAACAGTACCGGCTCTAAATGCATCTACAACAAAACAAGCAAAATAGCAACTACAACTTACCCTCCCATTATATCTACAGCTACAGCAAAACCAATAGCAAGCGGTGTTAAAACAGAATCTTGATTTCTTTTATCCAGAGCATTCATAAGTACAGTAAAAACAAGAACAAAAGTCAAAATAGCTTCACACAGAATAGCCCATCCCGGTTCTACCCCTGGTGACAGAGTATGAGCTCCTCCATTTATAGAAATTGCACCATGGTAAACATTTGATGGAAGAACAGCCTGCAGAAATGAAATATTGGTATATTTTACAAGTTATTGCATAGTATTTTCAATAACTGTCGTGGTAAGACACACTACGGTATTTTGTACTCACCCCTATCATATTTTTTTTATTGTACTCAAATATTTTAATGAATTTCGATTTGTATCCCCTTGAGGACCGTTAGACCAGTATCGTTTACGTGATCACTATTAAAAATTATAATATTGGCTCTCTCCAAAGTCCGATATGTATTGACGAATGACATCAGACCCTATATGTAGTACTAGTAATCTATAATTTATCACATAATTTAAAACGTCCGATTAAAAATTATAATAATAATCCTTTAAGACCTGATAGACTTAGTTTGATTTATAACTGAAACCCATATCGCACCCGAGACTATATGCACGTATCACATGCACATTTGTGATATGACTATTAACACTTTATATTATAATACCCTGTCTAATCTTGTAATTTGATTGGTTAATTTGACAAGGTATATCAGCCCAAATACCCTGTGAACAAAAACGAAGATCAAAATGGTGATTAATGTTGAAAGTAGGACACTCCGTGCAGGATAATTATAATTTCCAACGGTTCGATAGTATAGTGGGAAATTACTGTAATAACGGTACTAGTGAATACTATTGATACGGGTACTTCGTATGTACACGTATATATACATATCACGTGATATTGATATTTAGCGGGAATATTTTCCCTTGTTGGTCACTTCTAGCCAAGCATCAGACTGGACAACAGTGAAATAAAGTTCATTTTCAATTGTATTGTTATTCTAATTTGTATTTAGTAGGAATTAGATATTTTACTAAAGAGTAACTTAAATTATTACTTATTACATATAGATAGTATATTTACTTTATATACAGTCCAAGTATAACTCTCGAGACGGTCTTCCGAGCATTTGGGTTTGGACACGGGTTTCCCACATTTTCCACTTTATTTAAAATGTAGTCTTTTGACTGCAGTTTAAATGGAGTTTGACCGAGGTGACTCGTTTTTGTTGGTTTTTCCTGGCCGGCGGGATCGTTGATGACAGAGCAAAATATTTTTGAACACTAGTTACTAATTATTCTATTGAACTCTTTAATGAAAGTGAATTTATTGTGCATTGATAATTATGCTTTATGTATATTGTGTTTATCAATTATATTTAAATTAATAAAATATGGGGTCCACCAGTATTGCTGGGCTATCGGCTATATATAGTATTTAGTATTTATTGAGATGCCTAGAAATAGTTATTAGTAAAGTTGATACTATAATTGCTATTCGGGCTTGCCTTCAATGGGGAAATGAATTCATATTTCCTGTCAGCGCCTGACGACTCAGAGGATATAAAACATTGATTAGTAAACTGAGCACATATCCGTTGTGAAGATCACGAATAACAAATACTAGTGATTTTTTTTTTATTTGAGCACATGTTGGTAGTACTACAATGATTCAAAATATTAATTTTCAGTGCAAAACTAAATTATAAAGAATCAATACTTTAACTTCTACGTTTATTATAGAGAAAATTAAATAAGCTGTCACTCAAACACTGAAAGGATTTGTAGTGTTTAGAAACAAAGCGCATAATTTTGTAAATAATATTTTTTACATTTATACTACTTAGTTTAAACAATATTTTTTTTCAAATAAATCAATACATACATTTGTTTGCACCTGTCCTAAGTCGGGAGCCTATTGTTCAGTGGTTGTCGTTTGTTGGTGTGGTCCATGAGTGTTTCTCGTTTCTCGTTTTTTATATAGATTAGACCGTGGGTTTTCCTGTTTGAATTGTTTTACACTAGTCATTTCGGGGCCCTTTATAACTTGCTGTTCGGTGTGAGCCAAGGCTCCGTGTTGAAGGCCATACTTTGACCTATAATTGTTTACTTTTTATACATTGTGACTTGGATGGAGCGTTGTCTCATTGGCACTCATACCACATCTTATTTATATATAGTATACAATTCTGATACATGAAATAAATAGGATTCAGAAACAAGCAAAATTGCTTTTATTAATCTGTCTGTTATACTACTTACTCTTGTAAATGCTGCCCCAAGTGCCCCACCAATCATCTGAGCACAGAAATACAGAACACTCAAAGATAGCGATATACCATCGTTAAGTGCAACTCCAAGGGTCACTGCAGGATTAAAATGTCCCCCACTGAAAGTAGAAAAATGAAAAAAACGTTATTGACGGTCTTAATTCGTGGTTTTTCAATCAAGTTCAGGTATTGAAACGGGAGAGAACAGTCCATGAGATGCAATGTCAATATACGTGGAACAAAGTTGTCGTTCTCTAGTGATTCATAAAGGTTGATTAATTATTGCCACTTATGTTCCAGTGGATATCATTTCATATATACTCAGTATTCAGAATGAGAATGAATTAACAATAAATCTGGAACATGGTTAGTCAAAATAAAGGTAGATTTAAAACTGATACGAATTATCATTTTCCCCGATAAAAGCGCACATATCTACAACATATTATCTGGTATTAACACATGGTTTTGTTTTAAAAAAAAGGGGGAGGGTAATTAAAAAAATTTATTTTACCTCGCCACAAAAGCACAATAAACAAATTGGATGTTGATAACAGATCTTTTAATTAATAGACTATTAAATTTTTACACTTTTCAGAACTCAAACACATTAAGAGCGTGGCATCTCCCTTTGTTCATATTTAACACCATACAAGATCTTACCTGATATTACCAAGGCCCATAATGAGCAATGCAATCATCAGACCATGCGCCAAGCCTATGCTAACTATATCATTTGTTTGCACAACCATAGTACCAACGAACACAAATACTATTACGCCAACAAACTCGGCAAGTACTGGTCTAAATACTTTTTCAAAGTTCTCATTCTTAATACCAGTATTACTGACAGAAACTAACAGGGGCTCACCTTCACCCATGTTTAACAATAAGTGAACTTCATGGAAAAAATGTTCGATTTATACCAATCATTTTAATCATATGATTTATAAATACACCTCGGGACCGTTCTATCTAATGTAAAAAATAATAAAGATATATGCGATGACAAGGCATTATATATACCTTGTGATAATTCAGATAACAGTACATCATGGCTTTAGATAAAGGGTTATAATATTTGTACTAGACAATCTAAACTAGTTTATCATGTCCCGCCTACAAGTCTTTGAGTAAAGGGCCGGGACCTTATGTTTTCCAGGCTGTTCGTTCGTTCGTCCGTCCGTCAAGTGTTACATTTAAGGTTTTGTTCAAGGTAGGTTAAAGTTTCAGTTGCAAGTAGATACAAGTTTTAGTTTTGGGTAGTTTATAATCACACCAACTTGAACTTATAAAGTACACACATATATATATAAAGGAGTTGTAGTATGATTGCAAATAAGATAATTATCCAACATGAAGCGATTGTTAGAAAAACTAATATAATGAAGTGACATGTATATAATATTTATGCTAAATTAGGGTTTTGAACCATATTTCGCAGTGGTTAACTTCACATGGAAATGTGATGGTGCGAGATGGCATGGTTTCCTTTGGACGCAATTTCTGTGGGTAAATTTGGGTTCTAAGCAAAAGATGCAATAATCGTTCTTATGATGTAAAATGCAGAACGTTCAAGCATACGAGTCCCCCGTGTAACGCTTTAACGGGTATAGGGAAATTTTACATCATATACTAATTTCAGAATAGTTTATACTAATAACGATTTAGAAATTTAGTGAATTATTCTTTCTATTCACAATAAGCACTCGAATTAAATTGTTTGAAGATATTCAACCTTCTATAAGTTTTACATAACTTTTACGGGAAATAAGATTTTAGAACTCAGTTATTACTTAACTGGAAATAATTAAATTTTCGATGTAACGCGTCTTCTGATTGGCTGAAGTTGTTTTGTTTATCAGCACATAGACATAATTTTGTCATGTGACCGTGACGTCATCAATGTTTTTTCATGGTTTACTCATGTTTAAAATGGAATTTAAAATTAAATTATAAGATATGACTGTAATATTTTTTCTGTCTATTCGAAATAACATAAAAAATGTGGTGCACACTTTAAAATAACCCGCTACATTTTAAAGCTACATGCGAAAGCTCGGACGTCGATGTAGTCCCTTGCTAAATTCACATAAAGGCCAAATTTTGTCGACTACGTACATTTTGTCAAAGTATAAATTTCGGGGATATTAAAATACTAATGCATCATTCAATGTAGTTTGCTATTTAAGAGAGTGCAGAATATTCACATATTCCTAAACGGCAATCTAAGCTTTAGAATTATGCATTTTACATTAATTTATAAAAGATGATTATTGCGTCAGATGCTTCGAACTCGAAGGTTCAACCGGTTTCAAAAAACAACTAGATTATTTTTCTTAAGAATGTTTAAAATATAAACCAGCCACCACGAAATACTGGTCAACATTACCCCAAAAAATAATCTTCAAAAGACGTGCAAGTTTCTACACATCAAATCGATGGTTTATTGTCTAATGTTTGTTTGGTAACACTTGTTGATGAAATCAATTATAATTCGAAGACAATTATGACCGAGTAAAACACAGAAAAAAACTACACGCATAGAAAGAAAATATAACATTTTAAACATTTTATAATCTATTTGGTGTACATTTAAGGAATGACTGTAATATTTTTTCTGTCTATGAAGAAATAACATCAAAAATGTGGTGCACACTGATCGAATAACCCGCGTAGCGGGTTATTTTAAAGTGTGCACCACATTTTTTATGTTATTTCGAATAGACAGAAAAAATATTACAGTCATTTCTTATAATTTAATTCTGAATTCCATTTTAAAGCGGAGTAAACCATAAAAAAACGTTGATGACGTCACGGTCACATGACATATTTATGTCTATGAGCTGATAAACAAAACAACGTCAGCCAATCAGAAGACGCGTTACATCCAAAATTAAATTATTTTTGGATAAATCCGATAATTCACGAGTAACTATGTAAGAATCTGTTTCTCTAATGATTAAAAAATAAAAGTTTTCTTTTCTTGTAAAACGAAAATCCCTTTCGAGTGCCTTTCACATTCAACGGAGTTGTCAATTTCATTAACACCTGTTAGCATATTTTGATTCATCCAGTTAGCTAAAAAGGTTATGACCCTTAAAATCATCCAATGATCTTTTGAGATCACCGGCAACCACACGTTGATTAATTTTTTTTATACAATGGGTTCGGAAAGGGATAAATTTCCATAGAATATTAGAGAAATATCTAAAGTAATCTTTAACTAAGAGGGGCTTAGTTTCTTAGTAATATCTTAATTTATCGCTATTTTACGAATTTTTCCTTTGATCTTGCTGACTGATAATTTCCGTTCTCAGCGGAGTCGAGTGATATGAAAACGGAGTCGAGTGATATGAAAGTTATCGCTAGAAACTAAGGGAACACGTGCCGTTGTCAAGGAAATTAACAACGTCTTCATAGGTAAAATAGCGATAAACAGATTATCATTGGTCATCTCAACTCGATTGCTTTCTTGCTTTCGCCGTACTGGCTCAAGCGAGAAAATCAATCTCGTTGAGATAACCAACGATAATCTATAAATACATTTCGTGAGTCAGAACCGCCTTTCTGGATATACCTTCGTCGGGAAAGCTCAAACCTATACAACTGATAGCAGGCATGTAAAAATACGCAGAAATGTTAGCTCTATGACCAAAACAGAAATAAAGAATAGTCAAGTTCATCTAAAGTAATCTTTAACTGAGGGGGGCTTAGTTTCTTAGTCATATCTTAATTTATCAACAAACAGTAGTTGGTATATAAAAGTGGAATAACAAGAACGAATTTGGACTGCCAGTGGAAATAAAGGTAAATTGGGAAGGGCAGTAATTTTTGTCTAGAAATATATCACATACTGGTCCCTATAAGACATATTGCAGTTGTTTAAATACGTGAAAAGAGAGTGTCTCTCTCGGAGTCTCCGGACACGATGTGGAGATTTTGTGAACTATGAAATATAGAAACTTATAGGAACACCAAATAAATTCTGAATACCAGAAACATACTATCTGGCATTCAAAGTATTGTTTCGGTTTTCATTGGAATATTTGTTGAGATCTAAAAAAATACTTTAACCTATTCACAGGTATATGCACCTGTTTCAAGTCCTTAATTATATATGTTATATCGTAATTTTCCATGTACTTAAGGAAATAAGGCGTTTATGGAAGATCTTTTATAGTCGCTGTTTGATTTATTTATGACTTTTCTGGACTAATGACGATTTAGAGCTTGCCATACTATATATACATAGGTCTACTCTTGAAAGCCGTATGCTAACCTCTAAATGTCTTTTGATTTTCATATCATTGGGTTGTTGTTTTATTGGTGTATATCCCAAATCTCCCTTTGTTCATAGTTTACACCATATAGAATCTTACCTGATATAACCATAAAGATAACAGATCTTTTTATAAATAGACTGTTAAATTTATACACTTTTCAGAACTCAAACACATTAAGAGCGTGGCACCTCCCTTTGTTCATATTTAACAACATATAAGATCTTACCTGATATTACCAAGGCCCATAATGAGCAATGCAATCATCAGACCATGCGCCAAGCCTATGCTAACTATAGCATGTGTTTGTACAACCATAGTGCCAACGAACACAAATACTGTAACACCAACTAACTCGGCAAGCACTGGTCTAAATACTCTTTCAAAATTCCCATTTTGAGTGCTAGAATGATTGACAGAGACAACCAAGGGCTCACCTTCACTCATATTTAATCCTCGGATTTTTGTCAATCAAGTTAATCATATGATTTATCAACTAACCTCGAGTTGTGTGATTAAAAGTAAAAAAAAAATACAGATATAAATTCAATGACAAGACATTAAACCGTGTCACAGTTGTGGTAACCTGACTTGACTGCTCGGGTAAAAGTCCATAGTGTTTTCACTAAACGTACTAATCAATTTTTATTTTTATCAGAATGACGATACAGACAACACAGGCCTTCAATCCACTACATGAAGCAGACGTTAAATGAGTAAAATATTAATTGCAATTTTCGTTTTTCATTCTTGTCATAATTAGACTAGTAAAAAAAAACTCATTAAAAATTCAAGGTTTGTAATTTTATATGACAGACGCGCGTTTCGTCTACAAAAGACTCCACAGTGACGCTCGAATCCAAAAAGTTAAAAGGCCAAATAAAGTTGAATAATAATTGAGGACCAAAAATTCCGAAAGGTTTTGCCAAATACAGCCAAGGTAATTTATTCCTGAGGTAGAAAATCCTTAGTATTTCGAACAATTCAAAGTTTTGTAAACATTTATCAATTTTACCATATCAATGATATTTCATGTCAATAATGCATGAAATGCATGAAACCGAAACGGGTCTCCTTCTGTATCATAAAATTTACAGATAAAAACTTTTAATATAAATGAAAATTTACAAAGTAATTCCCATAGGGCTAAGGGCGTCGTTTACGATTTAAAATATCATTCGCATCACTAACCACCATAAAATGTCACAACACATTTCGTTTGGCCAACACCAACAAACTATATTGTCATATGAATTTTGTCTTGGGAAAATTATTGATTCAGATATTTTATACACATTTACTTTTGGAATAGCATTTGTTCTTAATCTTATTAAGATAAAATAGAAAAAATGAGAACTTAAAATATATTATTATCACCAGATGATCATGTTTGTGTGCCTATCGAAGATAAAGAATCGCGTCATGGCTTTTAACTGCCTTTTCATATTTTCTTATCAAGTTATGGAATTTGAGCTTTATCCGTAGGCAAGACTAATTTTTAGAGCTTTGATTAATTATGAACACTTGTTCTCGCATGTATATTTTTGTTGGGTTGGTATTTGATTTAAAATTCATCTCATTTAATCTTAAACGGAGTGAATGACAGTTTCATCAGTCATCAACAATCAAATTGGGAGATTTTGTTAAACATTTTGCTATGTTTGAATGAAATATTTTTGAAAATGTGTATTTATAAAAAATAGCAATGTACGCTTGACTTTAAGATCTAAAGAGCTAGGCTTAACATCTTCAGCGTTTGATTTAAAAAAAAAAGCACACACCTCTGTATATGTATAAGACCAACAGGGCTCCGAAGTTACCTTACTTTTTTCATTACTTTATTTTTTGTTAAAAACCCATGCGACTGCACCCAATGCAAGACAAAATGACCTGAACACTTACAAGAGCGTAGTGTATTATTCAGGACAACAATATATGTATACATTTTGAAACTTGATTTTATTATTTTTAACGCTATCTTACCTTATATTTCCAAGTCCCATTATAAGCAATGCGATCATCAAACCATGTGCAAGGCCAATGCTGGTAGTATCGTTTGTTTGTACAACCATCGTACCAACAAACACGAAAACGGTCACACCAACAAATTCGGCAACAACCGGTCTAATTTGGTTTTCCCAGTCATCATATTGATTTGGATGTCTCCTTTCATCGTCAATTAGTAGAGGTTCACCGTCGCTCATTTTTCTTCCTATCCAATAGATTATTATATATCTATATATATAGGTAAAAGGTCATAGTGTCACATTTATCTTGTTGTAGGTAAGTAGTTATCTACCGTGGACATTTAAACCAACTTTTCTATATTCCTGACTGAGTTATGATATGTCTGTCTTTGTTTGATTAAAAGTTAGACGAATAAAAGAAGTTGTAGGAGGACAGGGTCCTTACCTGCTATCGGTACAATAGGATATGTGTTCCCGATTGCTGTTAAGACCAAACAGCCTATTGTTTATGCGCACCAACTAACGCAACTTGGTATTGACATAAAAGCTCTATGACGTTGTTTCTAGCCATGAAAAAAACCGTCAAATTATAACGTCCTATTTCGCGTTTTTCACGGATTCCAATGGCAATATGGTGTACGCTTAAAAATACGAAGTGGAATTAAGCGTCGCGCCGATATCTAGTGGAAATTAAACACAAATGGACACAAAAGATACTACACTATCTGTAACCTCTGTTCAAATACAAATTTCGAACTCGGCGTTTTGCATTTGCGCCGATCTGCATTTCACTTTTTTTTCTTTCATTTGCGCTGATTGTGTATAGGTAAATTATAGGTGAAAGTCATTATTTTATTTATCATATAAACCTCTTCAGTTAACCAGTTGTACATATGTTATTAATTGAATTAATTCAATTATAACATGTATATAACTGTTGTCCCTTGCTCACAACGGGAAGATGGGAGTAGGATTTTGAGCAGGATAAGTCAATTTAAAAGATATCTGTGCACTCTGTTTACATCCACTAAAATCACGGGGTAAAATTCATTTTACAACATTTTAAAGCACCACAATAAAATCCATCAAAACGTAATACAATGAATTATTATATGTTCTTGCCGAGTATTTATATGCTACACATCTGATTTATTCCTTCTCTTCTATAATTGTTGTACTTGCCAACAACAAAGTCCATCTTTTCTTTCTTTGGTCAAAACGAAGTTCCCGAACAATATGACCAAAACTATCTCAAGCATAAGGGAACACTGTTTATATCCATATATTACAAACATACATTCTAGGGTTTACTACATATTCATGTTTTTACTCGTATAGCAAATAAAGCATCGGCGCTAGTGATAAAAAAAGGCAGTGGCTATTTTGCCGGCTCCGACAAAATAGCTTCTAAGGCGCTATTTTACCGTCTCCGGCAAAATAGCCTCCTTGGCGCTATTTTGCCGGCTATAGCGATTTATATAGAGTTTTGCTATTTTGCCGGTCTTATTCAAGACTAAAAAAAGAAGTATATAAACTAAGAATAGAAAAATATAGAAACATATACTTTAATAAGAAATCTCTACACAAAAATGTCTTCTCTAAAACATTTATACAAATGTGCATATTAAAATTCATATTCTTAACTTTAATAAGAAGTCTCTAGAATATGTCTTTTTTTAAATTACAAAGCATAAATATTAAAATTGATATTCTTTACTTTACTAGGAAGTTTCTAAAAATAAGTCTTTTTAAAAACAGATATAATAGACATTAAGCAAAGCATCCAAACCCATATAAAAATCGACATTCTAATAAAAACTTTTAATAAAAATATCCTTTTATTTTTTAAATAAAAAGTAACATTCAACAACCTAAAAATGCTTTACAAGTGTTACAAAACCAGTGCCTTGCTTTTGGTGCATGACAAGAAACGGATGCTGCCACTGCAGACATGAACTGCACATAACACTTATTTATTTTGCGTCTGCATCACTTTAAAATTTTGCAAAATGTACATTATATTCGACTGAATAAATGCTGTCAATAGATTTCCATGCATCGTCTGTACAATATTTCTGTATTAATTTTAATGCTTTATTGCACCATATATTAGATTATTATTAAAGTTTTTGTTTGATGCTCTCAGTGGATTTCATGAATGCTATAGCCCTTGAATCACGTTTCCACAGTTGCACATTGTTGTCATTTTCAAAGTGCTCCAAAACCTGCTGTAGCTTTTCAAATGAGTCGAACTTAGCGTTTAGTTCAAGTCTTCCATTTTCGAACGTCATTGTTCAACAGAAATTAACGTATGTACATGTAATTGAATTAGTGCAGTTCACCAAAAGTGAATAAACCAGACCATGAAGGCAAAGCCAAGACTAGTATAAGGTTATTGACATGTAGCCACATATATCATTTGTGCATAAATAGTTTCAATTTTTTCGTATTTCACAGAGACATATATTATAAGTCTCTGACTTCATATAGTCTGTTTTAAAATCTGAAATAAGACCGGCAAAATAGCAAAACTCTATATAAAGCCGGCAAAATAGCGCCAAGGAGGTTATTTTGCCGGAGCCGGTAAAATAGCACCTAAGAGGTGAACTTATGTGATTTTCAAAAATTGAGCTTTTAGAAGGTTAGGCCGATAAACAATACGTTAGATAGAAGTTATCACTTTAAAAAAGTTACAATGACCGGAAAGATTGAAAACTAATTTCGATTTTCAATGCCGGCAATCTATGCATACAACCTTGTCTTTGTTTTAATTTCCAAAATGAGCAATTAGATTCTTAATATTTCATCCTGTTTTGAGAAATACTTGATAATTTTCAACGGAAAATTATTTCTTAGATTCTAATATAATTTTTGAATTAAATACTTATTTGTATTTTATATTTACTCTCTCGTTTATTCAAAACACGTGGGGTAGTAATAACGGGGATCGTAAAGTTTATAATAGGTTAAATGGATGCATAACGTTTTAGAATCACAAACTTTATATATACCTATTATTTTAATTATTCAGAAATAATGAATCCACAAACTAGATGGAATGATTTGTATACGCTCGTCTTATTCGGGACACATAATGATATAAAGAAGTCCGTCCGTTCTTATGTCTGTCCGTCTGTCAACACAACAGTGACGAAGGAGTGCGCTAGGGCAAACGGCTTCTGAAATTGACGCGACAAAAAAAACCCACACATCTAGTCTAATATAGTCAAATAGTCTGTTAGTTAGCCAGTGTCATCTCTCATTTAACATTTTATTTTCAATGATTTTGCTAACGAGAGGGAGAGGACAAAACAGACTTTCCTTTCTAAAGCGGCGTAAATTTAAAGGTTATTTCGAACAATTTTTCATTCCGACGGATAGTGTTTCTGAAGGTTAATTTTGTGCGGCAACAACATCATGAGATCTGATACTGATACATGTATGTGATCTCTTGTATTACCGGATAATAAAATAGGTGAATATAGTTGTTATTCTTGAATTTAAATATGGGTTTCAAACGTCCAATTTGCGATTTTTTTTAAATTTTGCGCCAGCACGGAAAACTTGTATTATGACGTCACATTCAATGTTCTGAAGAAAGACAACTCTTTTCTTCAAAACGAACGAGTAAAAAAAAACCAGGAAAATTACTCATAACTTTTTTGAAAGGTCGGTGACATATACTTTTTTTTGAAGAGTACACATTGCACTTTCCTTCTTGAAATTGTTATGAAGAAATCACTGGTAGATATTTTTTAATACTGGAAACGTTTTCCATTCTCACGTTTTATTTTTGGCGGGAATGAAATAAATCATATTTTTTAAGATATAATGGGATCTTTTGAGAGTTTAGATAACAAGCAAATATCATGTTGATATTAGGGAAAACACGAAACGGAGGTTGCTATAGTGACAAAACTAAGTCGGTGACCCCCAATTTTTTTCATCCTATTTAGTTCCTAAAATCATGAAATACCTTCACACAAAATTTTAAGGAAAAATCACTGGTAGAACTGAATAGGCTGTTTGGTCTTTGTAAAATAGATTCTGCAATCGTGTACAGTTGATTTTTATCTGTGCTGCCTATTGCATCTGCCGTACACATGGTACCGAAATCCGGTAATTGGGTATGTACAGTATAACTAAAGAAGCAGTAAAGAGAACACAGTTTGTTCAATAGGTGAAAAGTCTTATTACAAGACAGGAAAGTTTATCGTAAACTTGATAAAGCAAAACATTCAAGGTCTTCAATCATTTTCATTTATTGCACTAGTTGTCTACCATCGATAATAAAAAACAAAATAAGGGGAAAAAACACTTTAAGATGATGAATTCAAAGAATAAAGACATTCTTTGAATTAAAATCTTTAGTTTTGTTAACAACAATAAAACAACGGTGAATTGTCTATAACAGTGGGCACTCTGTAGAATAGATAATTCATGAATAAAATCTCTTTTTGTTGATCTTGTGTTGCTGTTTTTTTTTCTGCTGACAGCTTTGTGGCACCGTTAAAGTCAAAAATTCATCTAAAGTCCACAACACCGCTAAAGTCCACAACAAATTTCCCCTCAAGTCTATAACGCCGCTAAAGTCCATAAACTTTCCGATAAAGTCCACAAAATGACCTCCGCTAAAGTCCACAAGAAAACACAGTTAAAGTCCACAACACCAATTTCCGCTAAAGTCCACAAAAAACACCGTTAAAATCCACACAGTTTTTATTATTTATTATTAAAAAATCAATTCGCTTTTTTTTTTTATCCCGGTCGTACAACTTTATCCCGGAAGTACAATAAAAAGCGTGGACTATTAATTGATCTTGGTAATTATTTTTTATCAGTTTAAATTATATGTTTGATACATGACAAACAATTATAGTATCTGTAGAAGATTTTGTTCGAAAAAATAGCTGGATAGTAAAACGACACAAATAAGTAAAAATATGGGTATAGATGGCAAGGAAATGGATAGATAAATGTTATTTATATGAAAAATGGCTTGCAATCAGAACTTAGAAAAAATGTTGACTTGAAAAAAAGGAGAGGACAGGATACATCATCATAACCCCATGTACCTGTGTAAATAAGAAGATGTGATATGAGTGTCAATGAGACAACTCTCCATCCAATACGTTTGTATTGATTATTGCCAAAGTGTAGAATACGCTTCAATAGAAAAAGCTTAAACTGTGTGTTTCCTTAAAACTAGCAATTAGCTTATTTAGGTAAAGTGAGCGATTCAAGCTGAAGATCATATGATCCTCTAGTTTTTTAAAAATATTTAGGTATGTGTATGTTGTGCAGAATTTCCTGTTGTCTATTGAATTTTAATGTTCATTTCTTACTTATTTGTTTATTATCATCGGGCAATTCCCATAAAACCAAAAAAACGAAAATAATGTTGATGATCGCCTTTCCTATCCTTGATTTTAAACAAATCAATGGATGGAACTAAGACACGAGAAGCCACTTTGTTTAGTCT